ACCAAGATATGAGAATAGTAACTGAAATAACAGAAAGATTGTTGTAAAACTCACAAAATATGTACAAACAAGCTTAGCTTCTAAAATTTAGTTTAAGTAATACAATAAATGTTTGCCATTAGCAAAAGACCAGTTCTAATGCACAACATAACATACATACGAACTTCACTTCAGCGGTCAAAACTAGAGCCTTCTTGTATATAATCCACTACCAAAGCTATATCGGTTCGAGACCTCGCCCACAAACTACTAATACCTCGCCCATAGAATTTTTCCTGAGATGTCAAAATATTGCGTCATAAGTTACGTTCATAAACTAGTAAGAGATGTTACGTTCAAGAATTTCTTTAAAAATAATAATGAGACTTATCGATACTTTCGCTTTTAACATAGTAATGTTTTATATATATAAAAACTATTACATAAACGTTTACAAACATCATAAATTATAAAGCATAAATCACAATAATTCCAAACAATTCGTCCAATACCACTTTGCTTACAAGAGGCATATCTAAATGTCTCCATATGTTGGCCATGATTATATGTATGTATGTATGTATGTTTTGTTCTTTCTTTATGTTTATTAAATGCTAACTGCCACGTGGTTAATTATTATATAAATATAAACTTTTGAATTCCTTGATTTATTCAGTCAGGCAAATGGTTAGTGTTATTTACACAATAACAGAACCCTGATAATATTCAGCTTACGGCTTCACTTAGAACCATTATGCAAGAAGCAGTCGTATTTCGTATAGGTCAATAGCTATTGTAGAAGTACTAGTGGCATAGAAGTGCTCGATATCACTGTTGTGGTACTACGTTCGTAATAACAGAGTTACCGGAAACCTTAAGTTATATTGAATGGAAGCCATTAAAAGAAGTATAACATAACCTTTTGAAAGAAAAAATAAATCTATTTTTAAACGTTATTGCCCACTTTTTTACCTCTATTACTATCAGTTTTATATTAAAATACCTATATAAAGTAGCAGTGACTGTTATTTATTAAAATTCAAAAAAAAAAAATATTTTGATATCAGTTTTTTCTACAAAATATCATCAAAAATTGTTTATTTTTGAGGCGCTTCAAAATTGAGATGATAATTATTATATATTGTTACAGAAAACTTACCACCGCAGTGAAATTTAATGATTATAACACCAGTAATCCAACACATTGACTTACCTATTTTATTTAATTTTTACAAACACTCACTTCAACTCCATCTTATGAAACACAATTATAGAACGAAATGAAATAGTTAGCGCTTAGGATGACGTTTATCGACTAAATATTACCACAATATATTCTTAAGGCATATAATGGATCTAGGAAGCACTGTAGTGTTACTAAAAAAAGTTAATAGAGTGGTTTTTATAGCTTATAAAACACTTGAAGTGGCAATCACCACTTCAACAGCACTATTGTAACTCCTCTTATCACTCATTTACCACTCTCTATTACCATTAAACCACTTTAAGCTCTAAAATTGTGGGCCCAAATCAGGGTTATAAGAGAGTTATAGCGCGCTGCATCGCCAATTGTAAGCGCTTTTATAGCAACTCGGGTTCTTAAAAATCTCTTATACAGCTCTTGTAGAACTAATCTTAGCGCCTAAATGTTACTTGGGTATCCTGTCTTAAATTTGGTGACACCGCACTTTCGAATTATATTGAATTTTTTATATTTTTTAACGTGCTTTTCTTCTAGCAGAACAGTAAATATGAAATCGTCTGTTTAAAAGTAAAACCACATAAGTGACATTTTCCACAAAAAAAATCTCAAAATTATGTACCTACCTGTTGTAAGAAAATCACCATCTTCCTGCACATAAAACTTTTATTAAGTTATTGACGTTGACATGCAGAAAGATAGTGATTTTTTTATCATAGCTATATAAATTAAAGACTTTTTGCTTAAAATGTCATCTATGTGGTTTTACGTTTAAAACGTAATATAAACGAAATATAAATTGCACGGTAATTATAACTAAATAAAAACAATGCACAAGTATACATTTCGATTGTTTGGGTAGGTAAAGCTTTACAATTACTGCCAAAAGAATCGCCCTCTTGATGGCTAAAGGCGTTTGATACCGGTCGGGTTAGCAAGCTCTATTCAAATAAATATAAAAATACAGACGGCTGTGCATATTTGTATGTATCTTGCCAATTAGTGGGTTCCCGACGAAACTCCGATTGTTTGCTTGTGAGAATATCCCGTGTCGTCTCCTATTTTTAAAACGTTAACATCCTAGATGGAGATGATCATCATTTAGATGGAGAGAGTTACGCTGCTATCGCATGCAATAATCACCATAAGATCGTATCATAATTTTTACATAGATGCAAGAACTAAAATCTCGCCTACGATTATGTCACACGAGATTCACAAGTAAGTTACAGACTACTGCGAATGTTTACAAAGCGAAATACATAGGAGGGTGACTCTTGTTACGAATTCTCGACTCTATGAATACGTTCTCGTATATTTTCAAGTTCATACGAGTATCGTATAAATCGGTTTGAACCGTTTTAGTGCGAGATTTGCTATTCGAGTTCAGAGTTATGTTAACTCGGAAACATTCAATAGTCAATGGCGAGGCGATTGTCGCCCACGTGGAATAATCGATAATCGCGAATGTTTACATGAAGAAACTTTTTAATTTTCTTTCGATAAACGTATCTTCAAGACAAGAAACTGGTGTTAGTCGTTTACAAACATTTTAAGTTTTTTTTCTAACTACATTCGAATATGAAGTCCATCGCAACAAGCGTAGCCACGAAAACAATGACAGGTAGATTTTTTGATCATACCAAGTGACGAGATGAACAAGCCGTGTCTGGTGATAAGGAACACGCCCGTCCATATCAGTGCCACTTAGAATTTTAAATCCCAAAAATCTGAGGGGCACGGCCCCCGCACCCGTCACCCTGAGACATAAAATGACAAGTCCCATGTGCCTGTAATTTCACAAAAAGAAGGTACTATAGCATGGGAACGAAACTTGGGCTTGCGTAGCGAGAGGTACTTTATAAATATAAATGACGATTATATCATAATTATAACTTTATACGTGTATTCAATTTCAAAGCTATGTCCAGAACTCCTAAGATGTCTGTTTGACATCAACACTGTATTATTCTTACAATTCTAAATACAAAACCTAAAGTGGCTGTACTACAGTACCTATATTAAGTTAGATCTCACACTAGATCAAGGTTTCTTAACCATTTTCTAGTCATGGACCCCTTTCAAAATGTCAAAGAGACACGGACCCTTTCTGAACATATGAAGAAGGAAGGCTCCAAGGCAACATTGACGCACATTTCGCTCGCTCCATTAATAAATGGCCGTCAAAGGGTGCGAAAGTTCAGAATAGTCACGCATAGTACCTATTTACTCACAATATATTCTATACCAATTTTTATACTAATGCAGTTAGGTATGCTCGCTATTTACCCCCGGCATTAATTACACGGACCCCTTATGCTAAGGCCACACAGAGGCTATAGCGAAAGCGTTCCGGTCGTCCGCGGCGGGCGCATGTCTGCCGCAGGTTTCAGTGTGGCAAGGTTCATATAAACTCATACATTACGCAGGTTTCTGTGTGGCAAGAGCATTAGGGTCTATGGACCACAGATTAAGAAACACTGCACTAGGTAACCTGTAGAATACTGTATTCATGGAACTATATACATATCTCGCACTTCTATAATTTCAGGAAAGTATAGAAAAACCGTCAGACGGAAATGTTTGGCGCGAGCTGTCTACAGCCCTGAAAGACGTCGATCGCGACTGGGCCTCCGTATGCATCAACAAGTCGCTGAAGCGCGACTACAGGCATCCACTCACGTTTGTGTCGTCATTTTTAACCGCTTCACGCATCGCACGTTGCGTTGTAGTTATTTCACGTCAACATAAACAACATCTTAGAACGGTTACACACGGCGACCTTTTGCAGCAATGCAAACGCAATGCAGAAGCGATGCAGTTGCTAATCGTCTACCTTTACACACGCGCGCTATTTTAAGCAGCAATACAAACGCGATCAAGCGCGCGACTGCATCGATACAAACGCGCGTTTGTATCGATGCAGTCGCGCGTTTGCCTCGCTGCTGACAGTCGCCGTGTGTAACCACTGTGTGTTCCATAAAAGTATAACTCTTTGAGATTGTTTTGTCTGTCAGGCTCCTATCAAAAGGCTGCATGGTGTTCGAAACGAATCCGGACGCAGCTGAGCCCTTCTTTCGGTGTTTAATAAGTCTGTACCCGTTCTGGCTCAACGGTTGGGTGATCACTAGCATCTACTATATGCAGCGAGAATTTTTTAAACTAGCTGACGAGGTCATGAAATGTTCATTGTTGTAAGTAAACATTAATCTGCGTTTCAATCCCTTAATTAAGAGATGGAAGAATGGCAAGTGGCAAGTTTTGCAGCAGGTGCAGAACCATTACCTATGCCCATGATAAAGGAACCTAGTAGATCACATAAAAAGACTTATTTCTCCATAAAAAAAATACAAATAATAACGCACGCACTCAACATAGCCCCGCACTAGGGAAACTCTGTGTCGCGGGTGCCATGGATACATACATAGACAACCACAAATTACACCCAAACTCACGAGAGAAATAAATGTAGGCCATACATATGTATAATTTTCCTGGTCATATAATCATTATTATATGACCTCTGCGTGGCAGTTCGGCATGGTAACCTTTCGGAGGCAATGACTATAACAGCAGACTTAATAAGTGTAATATAAAATACAACAAAATTATGTGGACAAAAAGGTTAAAGACTCAGTATTGTTGATTTTCACTCTTAAATTTTGTTGTCCGCTTGCCATACCATGCTTCTTATTTTTTCGTGACAAAATCCTCCTTAGCATACCTCTCCGCCGCGGGGACAGCTCTCTACCGGCTAAAACAACCTACAACCTCGGATGCTCTAGTGGGAGGGATCCGGGAACGACTTTGCGCACCGAAACCCCCCAGCACCTAGGAGGCGCTACGTCCTCCCCCTCCCCCTCCTCACGACGTAGCAGGCCACACCGCCCCGTTATCGTCCTCCCGGCGGCTGCCAAACTTACACCGACTATACCTACGTTTGTAGTACAGATATGGATGTAAAAGAGCTGAGTAGACAACCAATTTCTAAAATGACGCCACAATGTAAAAACAAGTGACAGTCAGATGAAACAAACTGTATTCTACAGCCAAAGAATTCCATTTTCAAATTTAATTAATAAAAAATTTTACTTTTTAAATATTGTTTATGGAAGTGGCCAGTTCCGGAAACGTATAGTGCGCCCTGTGTAGATCACACTATTTGGGTCAAACAATCTATAATATACCCTTTGACATCTCTGGATAACCTAACAAGATACATTTTAGAGACTTTTTGTCTCTTTTCTTTGGCAAAACGCGCCGTAATCAGCGAGTACCTTACGCTTATTGGCAAATACTTACATCCAGCTTACTGGCTTACATCCAGCTTCTGGAGAAAATTTAAAGGATGTTTTAAGATTCTCATATAAGTCAGTTTATGGGTACTATCCATTTAGAATCTTGCGAGGAGGTTCTGATTGCCCAGAATTAGTGGCGCAAGTGGTGCGCCTGTTCGTCCCCCCGCTAAATAAATTTAATCTGCGTCCACGTGATCACCATCTTTTGGCGGCGTCGGCGGTGTGCACCGTGTCGCACAGTAAGTCACCACTTGTTCGCGCTCTGTACTGTTTTAATGCGTTTCTCGTACCTGCACCAGACTGCGATGGTTTTGCAAGTAGATGGGTAGCTGTGCGTGATGAATGTTTTCATAAATCATCAGTGATTTACTAGTAATATTATCCAGTTATTGAATTTCACAGTGCCTTGGTGATTTACTGTAATACTGTGTAATTTTATGAAATAAATAAATAATCCTTTCACCACGATGGCATGCGTTATAAGTACATATGTGCCATCGATACGATAACAAGACTGCGTGCAGTCGACACTGAGTTCAAGCAATTATTGCCGCGCACCTATGTCAGGAGCTCAGTGTTTTTGTTAATGTCGAATAGGAAGACGTTACTTGTTGTAAGTTTATCACTGCCTTCAGAACATTTATGGTTCCAAACGCTGATTTTATATTTTATTAAGGAAATAAACGTATCACTATCAAAATCCTCACTTTTAATTTGTCGACAAATTCACAAAACAAATCCTTGATTATCCGCTGTGGTAGAATAAGCGTATAAACTGTCATTGTGGGCAACCTTGAACAAAAATTCGGCATAAAAACGTGAATTATCTTTTAGCTCAGTTGAAATGTAGACTCGCTATTTAAAATTGCTTCTACCTAGTAGATAAGGTCATGTTTACAGGACTCAATCAGAAGGCTTGCAACGCGACATAGGCTATGGCAGGGCATGGGAGCTAGAACTCGGCGACTGGTGGGAGCCAACACCATTACTGCCCGGCATGAGCGTTTATTACGACGCTGCTGACTTGCTCTTGCGGCTACGGGCCATGCCAGTTAGTTTACTTTATATTACCTATTGCTACTGTGAACGTGTCCCTATCTTGTATGTGACTGTGTGTGTCATATTGACGCATTTCCACTAGAGTTGCCAAATACGGAATTTATCTTTTTACCCGGGACAAGTAGAATTCATTGCATTTTTGGTTAATTTCGTTTTATTACATAAAAGTATATTGTTACAATATTATTCGGAATTATATTAATAATATGGAATAATTTATTCCACGTAATATATCTTTTTGACATATTTATAAAAGAGACAATTGTACCACGATATCTATGTACTACTAAGAGTCGTATTCTAGAACTCTACTCAATGCTCAAGTCAGGATTTGTTCAGACTTGAGTATGATTTCAAGCACTGGAAATAGGACCCTAATGGCAAGGACTTGAGTATGATTTTCAGTGCTCACTGCAATACTCAAGTCCTGACTTAAGTATTGAGTAGAGTTCTGGAATACGACCCTAAGTCTTTGCAATCGTAATCAAATGTGGTAGTTTGATTTTAATTAAATTCGGCTTGCATTTGTTACGGACATGAGGCCACTTTAGCACTGCCAAATACCGTGACGACAAAAACAATTTGAGTTAAGAATACTAAAAAAATTAAAAATTAAAGTATTTGTTAACGCGCATGCATAAAATGCTTTAATTTTTTAGTTGTTATAATTCAAAAGAGTAAGAAAGAAACTTATATAGTAAAAGTCACTAAAATGCTGTGCAATTTGTTGGCGACATTTGCACTCTTAATTATGTCTAGTTTATTTATTTTATTATAATCTGTACTTAATTGATTAAATAAGAATTAATTTAACAGGTTTAACCTACTCTTTTAAGTTACGTTTTAGTGAATATTTACATAATTTTTTTGTCGTCTCTTAACCAACCTGTCATTAAAAATTTTATGTCCCGGCGGGATGTTAAAATTATACAAAAAATACGAGATGTTACGTGACATACAGGTGTTGGCAACCCTGATTTCTACACACAATAAATACATAATAAAATAAAACAAGCATTAAAATTATTTGTTGTGAAGACAGTCTCGGCGCTGATTTTAGCCTGTCCCTGACCTTTGTGAACACATTTGAAATTCAGGCCAGATTTGAAAACTTGGCCAAGTGCATATTTATTTACAACAAATCGAAAGACATGTGTTTATTCACTAGCTACGACAAAAAAAAGTAATAGCAATCTATGAATCTACCGAAGAGGTAGCAGTTAGAAACAGTAAAGCTCTTGCAAAAAAAGCTGTTTCTACCGCCATGCAGTAATGTGAGCATTACTGGTGGCACAGCAGGCACAAAGGACTTGTCCCTCTGGGTGAGGAGTGCAATGGCAGTGCCCTTAATTTGCGATTTAAAGCACTGCAACTATTATGGGTAAGCGTGTCGTTTACCACGACTTGTTCGTCCCGATACTTAAAATCGTGGAAAAGTGGCAAACATCAAAGCATGGCAGTGGCTTCCATGGCAACGAAATTTAAATTTAAATTATTACTTAAATATCGAGTTCTTAGGTTTTCGCGATTGTTACACATAATATGGTCACGGTTGACACGATTGAGTCAACCGTGACCATGGGACCTGTAAAGGGCCCGAAACGTCGGTTTGTTTGAAAAAACAAATATACGCGATTTAAATCCGGAAAAATAGTTTCATTTCCTTATTACTTAAATTTCAATTGTTTTTTTGTAAATATTTCGGCCAGAAAGAATGGGGTCCCCTTGCCAGCGTGACCATGGTCGAATGCTTGAAATTTGAGTTGTCTAGTAAAAAGACGCTACTTAGTTGGTTCTAGTCGCGGAAAACTACATTTAGTCCTTTCGCCATTCAAAAGTTCTAATGGTGGTGTTTTACTGGTCATGCTGGACTAATAAGCTTATACCGGTCGGTATCATTTTTTATTCTCGAGTACCTCAGGCCCTAGCTAAGATCCGACTGTACCAAAAAAGTCGTGATTTAGACGATTTCAGTTATTCTAAATTTAGTCGTTTTGAAATTATAAGAATATTTCACTATCTATACTATAATCCCCAATTTAAAAAATTCGACCGTGGTCACGCTGGGGCATCGATTATATAACCAGAAATAGACGAAATGTCATTTAATCACTGCGCTCCGATCGGCGGGCCCGCGTTCGAAACAATTAACGAGTGTCGTCAATTTTGGACGAAAATTGCAAAATTACATATTTAATTACCGATGAAATGTGATTCTGTTTGTTTTGTAATTTTAGATGTTCTGCTTTTTTTCCCACACCACCGAATGAAACAGCCCGCATAGTTAGAGATATTTATTATCTTTATTACAATAAATACAGAATATTTTTGGAATATACTGAGACATTCACACAGGACAGTTGTTGGCGCTGTACTATTTCAGCTTTGTGATTTCAGTGCAAACGAGAGTTGATATTTAAAAGTGATTGATATAAGGTCAATTTGCCTGATGAGTTGCCAAGGATGGATGGTACTTATTTCATCTCTATTTCTGGTTGTACTCGATGTGCTGGGGTAAGCGACGCGAAAGAATGACTAAGATCTTGAATTCTAAAATAGGGAACATATCTACATACAATTGACAAGTCTTAACACTCTTAGCTGGCCGAAGCGTGCCTTGCGAGGTCCCTCTGCGACTCTGGAGAAACAGCAGCTTATTACCACTTAGTTGCCTTGTGCTTCAGGCTGCATGGGCAGATTGATGAGGCACTCTGCCATTTGAGAACCGGCATCAACAAATTCGGCGAGGCGAGTATCTACATTGTTCTCTAAATACTTTGAATCATAGATATAGAAAAAAAGGGGAGCTATGTAATGACGCTATGAAGATCGGGTATCGATGTCGCCACTTTTTAGCTTGTGTGCAATCATTGACTTACAAATAAATGGGTCGTCCATTTATTTGTAAGTCAATGAAGGGTCTAATACAAAAACCACAAAAAAATGTCCCAAGTCAACCTATTTAAACGTAGTGACATGTAAAGGAATATGAAAAAGCTAAAACGTTGAATTTAAATTGTAATGTCATCGCAGTACTATCTAATTTTGCTTGCTTCGCTGTCAGTCGAACAAACGAAGACTAAAGCGTGAATGACGCTCTGTATACGATTTTAACGCCCTATAAGTTCAGACACTTTTTAGCACGGACCCGACGTCCATATAATTGTAAGTCAATGTGTGCAATTCAAACTTTACGCTTTATTATCTACTACCATAACTTAAAGATTTTGATTGGGTAGGGCTTAAAACGTAAAAACGACATAACAAAATTTTAAAATTTAACAAATTAAACTTACAGTCATTTGAGTAAGAGTTATATTACAATATTTCAGTATTTTTTCATCCTGGTTCAGCCATTCACCAACAGGTGGCGTTTTAGTAAAAATAATACTAGTGTATAATAGCTAGCTATTACACGTTACATGGCGCTGAAACTCATTTTTCGTTACACTAAGAACTCACAGAGCAGTGTTCAACCGCGTCTGCCGCGGGACCGCGGCATCTGTAGAATGTAACAGTTAAGTATATAAAATTAGTAGCCTGTAGTGGTGACGGTTGCTCGAGGTTGCGGCGGCGGGGTACTAGTAGAACCGCTCAGGACGCGATGACCTGCGTGCTTGGCGGCCGTCGTCGCCCGCACACTTTGGCGGTCGGTTGCGCCTGGCAATGTGGTGCAAGCACGCAGGGTAAGTTCTCTATTAACCGCGCAACTTGCAATTAACTCCCACTAACTTCGCAATCGCAACGGTTTCGTGCCCGTAACCGCGGCAGCTACGTGCCCGCACAAACTTGCAGGGTCGTAAGTAATTAAATAAAACCGCTGTCTAGCAGCAACGGCGGGCGCGGATGGAAACCGCTCCGTGATTGTTAACCTTATTAACCTTAAACTGACGCTACTCAACGAGGGATGTGGTCCTACCTAATCGATAGTTGGCAACCATGTGACTGTTTTTAATATTAAAAAAATATTCCATTTTTCCATTGACTTACAAATAAATCGACGACGGGTCTAATACAAAAACCACGAAAAAAATGTCCCAACTCAACCTATTTAAATGTAGTGACATGTAAAGGAAATATGAACAAGCTAAAACGTTGAATTTAAATTGTAATGTCATTGCAGTACTGTCTAATTTTGCTTGCCACAATTGAAAGGCGCACAAAACACAATATTCAGCTTCTACTGGAAACTTACCGAAATGCACTATATGTAGCTTTTAGTGAAAAGTACTTGAACATAGGTATAATGGAGTAGCCTTTATTATTTATAATTAAATTTTATATGTAAATGTTGAATTTTATACAATGCCATTCATTACGAGCTATGGTGTCTGATTTTTTTTATTGAGTTTCGAGAAATCTCGTACCCGATTTCTCGAGTTATTCGAGATTTTTTTTAAAAACCGTAAAATATCAGCTCAGTCAACTATAAAACTAAATGTGAACTTTTCGAAAGTTGTTTTGGCCTGGGTATTCTGAGTTGTGCCCCGAAATAAATTCCATCGTTCTTGGTCCCAGGTTCGATTCCCGGTAGAACCAATTTGGGAAATGAACTTATGTAAATTGGTTCTGCTCTGGGATTCTGTTGCTCTGATACTCATGGGGAGTATGTACAGAGAGTTGCCTAGTTTCAGACCAGGTTATTGTCTTACAATAGAATACCAAGACCAGAACCATTTAGAAAAGTTAATTTGTTAAATTGATCCTACCGGTATCGAACCCGGGAACTTCTCATCCAGTGCCCACAGTGCAAACCGTTAGGCTATCAAGGTTGTACTACTTGTATTTTATGCATTGTTTGCATGTGAAAGCTACAAATTGCTTAAACTTTAAAAAAACCCTATTTAATATGCAGTGTCAGTCTGCTTCAATTACCTTCTTTGTTTCTTAAGTTGGTATATTTTGTCATTCATCCAACTTTTGATTTTAATGCATTTTGGCGGTGTAAGATGTTCTCTGTAAATACTTGTCACGTTCTCCTTAAGTTCAAGCTATGTTTACTGGATAAATTCTTGTATTGTCTCCTTCCTATGCACAGTTCACTCATTGATGTAATCACATACCAAAACTTTAATATAAATTTAATAAAATTTAATGTAATGCCTAGGCACCAAAAAAAAGATCTTACTAGCAATGTTGGCAAAGCTGTTTTTTTTAATTTTCGTAAGCCTTTGCTGGTTATGTACATATCCGATTGTCTGAAATGAGCCGAGCAAACAAATTTGTATATTTTCAGGATAAAATGTTCTTCTCGTCGCGATTCAGCTATTATATTTCTCCATAGTGAGCAAAGTATAGGATCTCGAGGAAAACTGAAATAAATACATTTATTATGCCATACCATAAGAAATGTACCCATGTTTCGGTTTTTTTAAATTCAAATTCAACGTAACGCCAAATTTTCATAATCCTGAAAACCGATTCATAATAAAACCGTTATGCTTTAGGGAGCTTTGGATGCTTATTACAAAGAAAAGACTAAGTTAGCTTAGGTTTGTTTCGTAATATTCTTAATATTCTAAAAAAAATCCCAAAAAAATACTTTCGGGATTATGGAAATTCATGCAAACGTTATTTCGGGCAAATGTATTTTCGGTATTCTGATTCTTAACCCCAAGCCGTAGAAAGAGTACAACAATATTTGAAAGTATTACTAACATGTATTAAAAAATATTTTAATAATAACATTAGCATCAAAGCGACTCTATGAAATTTTTGTTCTAAATATTTCAAACGCTTGTGTTTGAAACAATTGAAAGTGACGTGTTGGGTCTCGTTCAGTCTTTTACGCAACCTATGAGTCGGAAAGAGACAGTTAGCTATTTGATTATTTTGATTGCTTTTGTAATTTATATTCACAATTAATTTAGATATAAATTAAATACTCTACGTTTAATCTACCAGTATATTTGACATATTATTTGATCGAGGCTTACGGGGCGCTTTACGTATTGACATTTTTATACCATTATCGCGATTTGGTGTCTTGATTGTAGGGGTATCATTATGAAATAGAAATGTAATGCTGAACAATTCAGAATTTGAGTTACAATCACAACAGACAAACCACCATAAACACAACAATAGACACTACTATTTGATGTCAATTTTGAAACACCGAAAAAAACGCTTCAATTATATAATGAAAGGCGCGTGCGATAACCCGCGGTATACAACATGAGGCGCACCGCGAGATCATACGCATGTGTGCGAATGTGTACACGGCGCGCGGCGGGCGTGCACACATATAAGCCGCGCTTCAACGTTTGTATGGAGTTACCTTACTTGTCTTATTATAGTAAGGTATATGACTGATATTTTTCGATAAGATGACAGAATCGGTTACCGTTCAAAGATCAGACATGGTAATTCAACTTCAAAGCACCTTGATAGTAATAATAAACTTGAATTTTTGGTTATACTAACATTATCGACATGTTCTTAGGTCAGTTACCTACGTAGTTTGGAGGCCGAATGCCTGCACGTGAAAGGAGACCAGATGGAGTCACTTGCTGCTTTCCAAAAAGCGGGCAACAACATGTGCCCTTATAGGTATATACTTTCAGTATGGACTCTTGTGACTGTGCTCTCAGGTGATGAGACTACATTGCTATAGGTACTTACTTACTTAAACTGAACCTATGAATAAAATAAAAATTTTATTAATAGGTTCAATTTACGTTGCCGCGGAGCGGAATGGCATCGAATTTTTGTAACGAAATTGTGTATAACATAATGTCAATTGTGCTTAACCTTAGTACAATTACGAAATACTAGATACGAAACGGTCACAAAAGATAAAACAATAGAAGTGCCTTTAGCGTCGATTACTATCAGAATCGCTATCGCCAAAATTCACACCATCATTATGTTAAACACCACGAAAACTCGATAATGATGAATGAAAACGAAAAATAGTTTCTACCGTTACAAACTACAAAATTCTTGTTATATATTACATAAGTACTAGTTGTATTAGCTAATTATAGTTTGTGAATAAGCTGTTGAATAAAGTTGCGCCCGAGGAAATCTTCACGACTTAAACATGCATACTTTCAGCAACACTCTTTCCAATTCCATCATCGCAGACTTAGTGGCTCCATCCCAGGATGTAATGCAATACAATATGATAGATTGCGCCAGTGCCAGATATACCATTCTAATAAGTCTGCTATCAGCAATATAACGAAGCTGTTTGACGATGTCAATCAATTTCCTTAGTCTCCGTGCAACCCCGTGAATGTGCCGAATGAGTCTGAGGTTGTTGTTAAATATAATACTAAGATGTTTTGTATTTTGGGTACAAGTAATAAGAGGAGGATGAAAGGAGAGGTTTTTAATTTATAAGAATGTAACAAATTCTGGACTGTTAATATAATTTAAAGTTTACCCAATTGGCAGAAAATGCAATATACCTATCATTGCAATTTACGACGTTTTTATTTTATACTAAAATTTCATTCAGCAAGGCCAGCTACCTTATTCGTTGTAGTTACAGGAAAACAGTACTAGAAGACTATCCACGTATTTTGAAGATATTTTGATTGGCATTCACAGATTTAGAAAAAATGTAATGTACAGTCAGCAAGATAAAAGGCAATTTTTACAAAACTTTTTTATGCCATTCGATCCGGTCCCTGTTAAGGATCAATAGTTTCTATGGGACCAACTGAGGTAAGAGTACTCGAAATATCGAGGTCTTAGGTTTTCGCGATTGTTACACATAGGAAATTAAAACTATTTTTCCGGATTTAAATCGCGTATATTTATTTTTTTAAACAAATCGACGTTTCGGGGCCATTTACAGGGCCCATGGTCACAGTTGACTTGAAAAAACAAATATACGCGATTTAAATCCGGAAAAATAGTTTCATTTCCAAAGTACTCGAAATATCAGAAATCGCAAAAAACTTTTTACCGTACATTTTGTAGGGACATATTTAGTAATTAGTTATTCTAGGTTAAGGAAACTAACAATAAGGAAACTAACAAATTGACAACGTATTATGTATTTCAACATTACATTATACACGTATTATTGACACACGTGTCACGCCCACTGAGCACTTCTATTGTATTTATTGTTCTGTGGATACGGTAGCTGCGGGATTCCCGAGACTGCGCAAGAATTCTTCGCAAAAGGCGCACCCTATTTTTTCATTCGTATCTAGTTTGTACGTTACACAATTGACATAAAATTCATTATGCTATGCTATTCATTCCATTCCGTTCCGCGGCAACATAAATTGAGTCTTATAGTTATTCGTGTTGAGCGTATGTAGAACACAATGTAAATCACGTTGCTTTAAACATATTGGCAAGAGAATTACTTACTATCGTGCAGTGTGCTGCTGTCGCTGTCAGCGTGGGAGCCGGCGCGCGTGCGTGTGATCCTCGTGGACCTGTTACGCCGACATCCCAACGCATACGCCTGGATGGCACTCGCCAACGACTGGTTATTGGTCTGTCATAAATTCTCATTACATTACAACAAAAAGTTGTCAATTCAAATATAAGTACCTACTCCGAAGCCATCTGCGTATGTGTTACCAGGTTTAATTGTTACGTCTCGTAACTCTGTCGTATTACACGTTATAGCGCGCTCAGCTGCAGGATGACTTAGACCTAGGGCTGAAAGACGAGCAGGACGGGGTCCTGTTATGCGCGACGGCGTGCGCCGTGCAGGCACTCAAGTGGGACCGCCGTGCTGGGCGCGCATGGGCGCTGTTGGCACAGCTTGTGCACCCCCAAGTCAGAAGAGATCACTGTGTCCAAATGGCCATTAACGTAACTATAATTCATAGGAAGTCATCACACTTTTATACTCTTACTTTACTCAACGTCGTGTTAAGGGTCATTTCCTTAACTACTAAGTCTTTTATTTTATTTTTTATTTTTTTAATGTCCTTCATTTTATTTTCTTTTGCTTAGTGTTACAATCTCCTTTGTACATTCAGCTTATTATTATTGCTATTTATTTTATTTTCCTACAAAAGTATTGAAATATTCTTATTATATATATATTATTATTATTTGTGTATTTATTTATAACCACTTTCATTACAAGATATCTTTGGTTGCACCCATAGATATAGAAAGCAACCATGTTGCACCCCTCATTCCAACTGTTAAATTTCTATCCTAAGGTTGCCCGGAAAAAATTGCTACTTATCAATAAGGCCGCCTGTTGTACATTACCTTACTCTGTGATACTTACATTACTGTTCTGTTTTGACATTGTAATTTTTAATATGCAACAAAGAATATTCCACTCATTCACACTAGTCGATACGGAATCGCATAGAGCCGGTCAGAAAAAGCTTTAGTCCATACCATAAGAGCGAAAAGTACGTCGCGCGTTTCGCTGCCGTTTTTATGGAGATAATACTTTTTCTGACCGTATCAATGTGATCCCGTTTCGACAAGTGTTGCGACTCCTTACCCGTTAACATAGGAAAATCGAATCGACCAACTGCATAGCGTTAACATCACGTAAAATCGTAAACTTTTTGCTATAAAGCAAAATAAAAACCTTACTACTCATAATTAATTACAATCAAGCCTTTTTACAAGACCAATAAGCAATTTTTATTTAAGGTGAAGTGAGATCCAAAATAGACGCTTTGGTGTTTTCGTCTCGAATTTTCTTTTTTAACGATAATGAAAACAGAAGATGCTTACCGGTAATTAACTTTGAGCCCGAAAGACAATTGACTAAACTTCCCTGGATGAATATCTGCGAAATTTATATTTTTTACTAAGGTCATCTACGGTCAGTTTCATTCCATTGTTATCGGAGATATTTCTTGTGTTCCGTAATAACGACGTTAAGGGACTATGACCTCGTTTTAAAGTAACAGAGTATACTTCAGAGTGAACTTCCTTTTTGCAGCGTTTCTCAAAACCCTGCTTATTTTTATATTCGGTACAGTGTTCGACACGGTGGAGCGGTATGTCTTCTTTCGCTTTGCATACCCGTCAGGTGACATAAAATGCACGCCTAATTGGCAACAATATAAACTATGTACATTAATCTACAGTAAACTGTTGTTCTCGTACAGTGCGGGTACCCATGGACGGAGAACGACGTAGGCAGCTGGTGGAAGACAACGCGCGATGCCGTCTGCTATCGATTGGGCATCCCGCTCGTGCATTGCGACTGCGCCATGTGCCAAACCCTTGTAGCCTGATGGAAGATTTACATGCAGTTCCATTTACATAATTAATCGCATTTTATTTACTAACGCTCAAACGGGTTACCACGATATTTTTAGTCACCCGCTGCCGTACGACTAAAGCTGAAAGTAGTTCTACGTGTGCACCTGCGATTTAAGTCACATTAGGGTAAGGCTAGTAACAGATTGGCTGCATGTCGATTACGACTTCATGAAGTCTGTTTCGACTTCATGCAGTTAACGTGTTTCGAGTTATGCAACGATAGTTATCAAAGGAATAATTATAAGTTACTTTTTCGTTCGTAATTCTGAATTAGTTTTAATTTATATATTACAATATAAAATTCAATAAAACAAAAACTTTGATAATATTCTGATTTATTCTGTACATTTTTATAAAACATCTATAACTAGAATTGTAACAGAACACAGATATTCTTATTGCAGTTCGCTTATTTGCTTATTTATAACAATATGGCTATAAATCCTAGAACAGGGTTTATTTAACTGCGAATTAGCGTCCAGGCTTTATAAAAAGGGCGAATAGGCCGTTTTTGCAAAAAAAATATAATTGGTAAAAAGGGCGAATAGACCATTTTTGGCAAAAACTTTCATACAAGTGTATATAAATAGAACCCAAATGGTTTCAGAAAATGACATGAATATTTCAACAGGATATGCCATTTGCGATCTTAAGTAATAAAAACTGTATACAAAAAAATATTCGATTACGCATTTTGTTCGTGTTAATGCATAGAACTATATATAACTTCTTTTATATTCATGTAATTGGTTTTAAAAAAAATTGTTTATGTAAAGCAAATGCAAAATAGTGTTATCTATGGTATAAATTTCAAATTCATTTGAAACAACTGCTTCTTCTGAAATTTAACATCACTAAAACCTACAAGCTTGTTGCAATATCTACTATGTCCACAGTGAACTGAAAATGCGCTTGAGCAATATTTTAAAAGGTAACAAGGACTTCTAGTCCCGGAAAAATATTCAAGAATATAATATTCAAGCACACTTATACTACGTTCGATTCGCCAGAAACATTTGCAAGTATTCTTATTACCGAATCTAAAATCATCTCGATTGTATGCCGATAGCGTCAATGACAGGATTTTGAACGTTTGGTATTCTGAGCAGTGTCTGGTCAGTGGTGGGCATCGAGGACATGTGGCTTTTTGGTACATTGCTATTCAATATTTTAACAAGGTAAAATAGAACGTTAGATGAATGAATGCCATCACTGTCCACTGACACTGTTGAGATTCGACTGCCATTGCAACTAGATTTTAGCAGAATAACAATAAATGATACCTACCTCAACTATTATCATAATTGCAATGTGATCTCAGCGAGTCGTTTCAAGAAAATTACGGCGCGTGTACACGCTAAAAAAAGCCGGGTCTATGCAAGGATTCGTGTCGTTTCTACACACGAACTGTGCACACAGTCTCGGCGCCGCACAAGAAAAAATTCTTGTCTACTCCCGACGCGACGCGCTCTGCCGCTATTGCATAGGACGCATTGTCAGTAAACGACTTATCAAACGTTGAAATTTTCATACGAAAATAAATCTATAAATAAACTTTTCCTGATGTTGTCGCAGTGTAAAATAGAGGGTACCAAACTCATCTTTTTGTTGCAAAATTGGGTGAGTCCAATAAATTGTCTTGTATCTTCTTTTCTTATTCATTTTTCTATAATTATAATATGCAATCACCATTTTTTTTTTTGCTTAGTAGTCAACATATTTCTTCCTCTTTATTTCTTTTGACAGTCGGTAGTAAAACGACAGCTATTTGTCAATGCACTGACACGTTTACCCTACACGTCTACCCGAAAGAATTCGTATCGTGTCGTGTACATAGTCATCATTTTCTTGTCTGCAACAGACACGAAATATTTTCGTGGCTAGATCCGACATAATTCTTGTCGTGTACAAGGCCATTCTCGTTTTTTCTTTTGCAGATACGACAAATTTCTTAGCGTGTACACGCGCCGTTAGGCGCCAAGTTATTCCACCTTCTCGCTCTGTGAGGCCCGTATTAATAAATCCATCTCCATAACATTTACCCAAGGTCTTTTTTTTATAAACAATAGATAAATAACTTGGCCATGACATCTAAGTACTTATGCATATTTTTTTAGTGTATACTTTAACCTTGCTTTTGCTTTTCACTCCACCGAGCCAATATAACTACTTGGAATGAGTTTTCCCACTAGTTCTATTATTAATGAAATATAATTTAATAGAACTGGGACTTTTTTGTAACAATAGTTCTATCATCATTTGAGAATTGTCGAAATTTCCCCTAATTAATTAACATCACTCAACTCTAAGTCACAGCTCAAGACCGTTACGAAGTCCTAACCAATCAAGTACAGGATCTCGGTTACTTGTGAGATGGTATCATCCACGATGATTATTATCGATACGCACTCAGTACCGGACTTAGGAGCAGGAGCTGTTTATTAATACGGGTGTTTTTTTGGTGCAACTTCGTTTTCATATCTATAAAAATTCACAGTAGGTACACAATATACAACATAATATTGCAACTAAATTATTGATAACTACTTACTTCTAAATATCAAATAAAATTTTTATTTACATATTTCAATATAAACAACCTTAGAGCGATTTAGTAAAGGGAAGGTAGTTCAATGATTGTGTCAGCAAAGAAAACAGTACAAGTAATGTAAGATATTGTTATTTAGAACGTATTTGCTACTAAAAAACCATGCTCATTTTATAAAACATTGAACATACAAGTGTTGGTTTTGCAAACTTAATTTCCTTACTTTAAGAGGTACAATATATCGCACTGGTATTACAATAGTGTTTTGACTCAAAATATGTGAAATTCAGGATTATACTATTGCAGAACGTAAACTTTGATTCGCTACACGTCCATACAACCGTCGTTGGAATACTGTACGTAACTATTAAAAGATATCTACTTAACTAAAAACGAGACAAACTATTTGTGAGCTAGTTCTGGACAAAACAGTTCTTATTAAAAAACATGAAATTATATTTTCCCTTTTATTATTTGATTGTTTGTGATGTCTGTAATGAACGAAGGAAATTATAACCTATATATAAATTTTAATACTAATTAAACATGGGAAGTGAATAATCCGTTTATCATCGATTCTGAAAAAAACCCATTTTTAAGTTAATCGACTATTGTATTAACAGTGCAATATTTTTAACGCTAATTTTGAAATGGACAATATACGGAACATTTATACTATTGTCAAGTAATGGTAGCTAGTCATTTCGATAATGATTTTTTTATAATATCAAGTGACGGGACGAACAACTCGTGTAGTCATAATATTTTAAATATTGACATTAACATAATATTATTTTTGGACTAAACTCCCGACATTAGTTTCAAAAGGCCTATACTAAAGTCACCGTTTCCAGACTATTCCTTGCCACCCTGGCCCTGCTGGCCAGGTTTCTATGAATTCGTTTTTATGATTTTTAAATAGTGACGAAACGAAAAAGTTGTGCACCTGATGGTAAGCGTCACGCCTGTCCATAACAGTTGCAGTGCCACTCAGAGCTTTAAATCACAAAGATCTGAGAGGCACTGCCAATGCCCCTGTCACCCTGAGACATAAGTTGAAAAGTCCCACGTGTCTGTAATTTCACCAGCACCCTTACCCTTCAAAACCGGCATTACTGCTTGGCAGCAGAAAATCGGTAAGGTGGCATATTCCCTGGACAAACTCTTTCACAAGGACTCTACTGCAGCTAATAATAATAATTCGTATGTCACTGCAATAAGTTGAAGTCAAATCTTATACAAATATCCCTACACTATAAATATCAACAGAAATGCTTATTAAAAATTAGATAGGAAAAAATATTTTACATTAAAATCACATATTTACCCACTATTCATTAATTATAACTAACATATACGAGGTAGATCGCAGGACCTGTGTGCAGGTATGACGTCATACATGTTTACAAGTTAATGAAAACGGGTCTTTATCTTTCATAACAGTCGAGTTAAATTCCCGTTTAATTCTTCATGGCCTGCTGAACCTTTTCGATGTGCGGTATTTAAATTATTTTATACAAATTACATATCAGAGGTCAACAAAAAACTGTTCTAAGTAATAAATCAGAATCTGGAGATACGAATAAACTGACATAATACAACATACAAAAACTTGCCAACGGGGCCACGAGCCCAAAAATTCGCTCGTTAAAACTAAGAATGATGGCTTTACTATTTAAGTGGGAACATAACTTGAAAATTCCACTGTACCCACTAGTGGAACCAAAAAAGGAACCAGCAGTCCAAATGTAGGTTGACTGTGAAGTGGTGATCCCTGCCCAGTAATTCTAACAGAGTAAATGATTGCGAATTCAATAATGTAGTGTATTTTTGAAATAATTACGTTAATATATTATTATGAATCCCACATTAATACAAACATCATGGACGCCTTACATTTCTTTTTTGAAAACAACCTGATCAGACTAATAAAAAATTGTTTAAAAGTAAACGTGATAAAATCATGATCCCAAATTAAGCAATTTGACATAAGTTCATATCAGGGATGCCGCAGATGTGGGTTATAACGACGTTGACGAGATGAGGAAAAATAGAAGGCATAGAAATATTATGACATTTAGTTTATGTCGTCGGCCGTGACTATGGAGCTGGGCTATCTTGAATGGAAACGTTTATAAGTCAAAGTAAACTCCACAATTTTTGTTCAGAAAAAGATAGGTCGTTGCCTGCACTACACGCTGCCGAATTCTCGATCCATGATTCTAATTAGCACTAGTACTCGACGCACGCTTTGAGCAGGGCGTGCTCCCGACGATCTTGTCGTGACATGTGTCCGCAAAAACTTTGCATTGATTGAGGCGGATGTCGCATACGGAAGATTTAAAAAATATATGCAGATGACCCGCGGTTGCGGATGTGGATGCAGAAGTCTGCGGCATCCCTATTTCACATGACAATGATCCTAAATAAAAGGAACTAAATAATATTTTTATTAACATGATAAAAAGTTTTTTTGCTTGTTCAAGCGTTCAAATCTTTTGCGTTGTGTTCGTAATAGAAAACTAAATCATAATAAACTGTGCATAAACCCCGCACGTACACACCCAGAGCTATCTTTGATCATCTCAGAATCTAAGGGTCGTATTCCAGAACTCTACTCAATGCTCAAGTCAGGATTTGAGCAGACTTGAGTATGCTTTCAAGCACTGGAAATACGACCCTAATGCCACGGATCTGAGTATGATTTCTAGTGCTTTGAATCATACTCAAGTCCTGACTCGAGCATTGAGTAGTTCTAGAATACGAACCTTAGTCTCCGAGTACCTACCATCTACCTCGTTTAACATAATTTACATTCGGAATATTAAATTGCTAGAGTGATCCTTTGATGTTTCATTTGCCGTTGTTGAATCTTCAACTGAAGTAAAATCAACTGATTATAAATAATAACCAAGGTTGTGGAAGCAGAGTCCTACAATTTACTTTTAGATCCTCATATATATTGGCGCTAGTATTTTGTCGTTACTTACATTTAAAGTGTTAGCCGTCAAAGTAATATTTTCAATATATAAATATAATACGTCAAACGATTTTCTGAATTTTATTATTATGAAGTACAAAATAAAGAGAATAAAAACGACAGAGTTACAGGAGGCTATTATGAAAACTTCATAGTCGGATTATTTATTATAGAAAAGAAACTGACAGTAATGTCACTTTGTGACTATTACGGTTTTCTATGACTTTTGATGGAGCTCGTGTGCACTCTGTAAAACAAGTCGCACGTATTGGCGGTCCAGCCATCTCATTTTGAAGGCCAGCCATCTCATTTTGAAGGCCAGCCATCTCAATTTAAAGGCACAAACATACGTTTACTTTTTGTTTAGCGACGAACTTGTCCCAGTAAATGATCAACTACAAACGGGGTCGCAGTGTCTCTAATAAATAAGTTTAAAGAAGTTAAGAGGGAGCAGAGGAAAAATTCCTTACTTTTTTTACTTTAAAGTTAAAAATAAAATATTGTATGAGTAACTACACGGTATATTCAAGCATAGACATTAATCAGAAACATAAAACAGGAACTTTATTTCTTCGATAGATAAAAATCACGAAATGACCTCTAATTTTCACATTTTTTCGATTTATCCTCGAAATGCTGCAGGTTATTAGGACAAAAATTAGATAATTAATTAATTATATTTATGCATGATCGACAACTATCACAACGGATTTTTTTTTTAATCCCTTTAATTTTAGAGTTATTCCGCTAAAACGAATTTGGTACTTTTAATGCGCAAAATTCAACATCTCCTGTCGCATGTCACGCGAACTTCAGGCACATATTTGTTTCACAAATTTGGGCGGAGCCAACGTCAAAACATTTTTGGCATGCTCCCTCTTAACATTCTTTGTGTGTTGTGTTCACTTCTTAATGAATTCACTGAACCAGAATCAATCAATAAGATGTATAACAGATTTTTGATTATTATATCCTAAGCAATATTTTATTTACATTTACTTATACTTTTTAACCGACTTAAAAAAAGGAGGAGGTTCTCAATTCGACTATGTTTTTTTTATGTATGTTACTCGATAACTTTGTGAACCGATTTTGATAATTCTTTTTTTGTTGGAAGGAGGGTACCTCAGATGTGGTCCCATTTAAATTTGAAGAAAATATTCCACCACTAAGGGTGGCAAACTAGGGGATGAATGACTTTTGAGGTCGGTTTTTTAGTACTCTGTGAGATTATATCAATTTCCTGTTAGACTGTTGTAACTGAGTTCTTGATTTTTATTGTATAAATACCTACAAATGATAAAAAAAATATTTTTTTACTGTAAAGACTTAATGATTGAACCAGTGATGTTGATCCTTTAAGACAACACTACTTTTATTTCATCAAAAAACTACCCATTAAACGTAAACCTTATTATCTCTACGACTATAAGTGATTCTTGCCAAGAAAGGTTAAACTTTAAATTTGTAGAGAAAATAGCGTTGATCGAATTTTTGGGACAACCTGTATTTATACTCGCAAGACTTCCTATATGGTTTTCGAATTTCAAGAATACAACACTGTTTTCGAGACAACAAAAGGTGGTTGACTAAGTACCACGCGCTAATAAGGGGGATGAGTTAAGTAGTAAAATCGGTATTACTATCGGTAATCGGTATTGTGTAGATATAGCTTGCTGTCAGTATCAGTGCTTCCCAAATATACAACGCGCGTTAATAAAAATATTTTTAACGCGCTATGTATCGTTACATACACATTGTAAACAAGAGCAACATACATATACAGGTATTGGTGCATCCAGAAGATACATAATGCGTTTCGCAATATATTTTTTTAAATTACAAGACCATTACATGTAGTCAGTCAACTAATCTATATATTACAATTGATTATGGTGTTTTTACATAACTACATTATTATCCAAGCAGTAAATTTTAGAATACAGGAAATAAACATGTCAGTAGTACCTTCTAAGCAACTGTTAAAGTGCTCCCACACCTGAGTTCATAAAAGCTAAAAAGCTACAGCCATACCACATACTGCCCATTAGACATTTGTAAATATTTTTAAACTACATTTGGAATGGGTGAACGACAACATATATGAGCAAATGGACTACAATCTCACGTATGGATGGACACAAATTCCTGAACACGAGTGTGGGAACACCTTCAAAGGATCCACTAGGAATGTACCTTGCAGTAGTGCTAATTAGAGTCGTAGTTCTCCATTAGAGGTTGTTGGTCCTCCCGTTTGCCCCCTCTCGAAATCTTCGTCACTCCTTCGAGCACGCCTATTTCTGATAAACTGAAATTTGACAATAGCGGAATTAATTATTAATACAAAAGTTGAACATTCAGAAAAAAATCCTAAGATTCGTGTGCATCATAAAATTGGCTAATTAGCGCGATTGTGTTTTTTAATAGTTTATTTTGTTCGCAATACACTGTACTGTGTTCAGTAGTGAACCTGAGGATTTTTCCTCCTGTGGCGGCCGTATCCAGGCGGAATTGAATTGAATGATGAAATTGATGAATTGGACAGACTGCCAGCGCAACGAAAGAAAAGGTGAGTGTCGTGTTCGACCTACTATTATATACTTGTTCCAGTCCTTACAGGAAACTACTTGCAAGTGCAGTTACTCGTAGTACAAGTACCTTTTAATGTAATTAACAAAAATCCCAAAAAATACAGTCCATTACTTATCGGTATCATACATCTTCATTTGGCACCACCAGTTGACATGGAATGAAAGTAATTATTCTAAAGTTGTGTTATAGTCTGTGCTGTTATTTATTGGACAATTTTTTATGTAAATTAACCTATGCACTATTTTTGTTTTCTTCTTTCCGAACGCTGTTGCCGCGACTAATAAGTTATAATATTAATAACTAATTATCATAACTAAATAATAAACTAAATAAGTTTTCTCGAAGTTCAATGCTTATTCGCAACATAAGTATTATCATTTACCGCTACTTTTTCGATTCTTGATCGTAAACAAGCGGGATTATACTAAAATCCACAAAAAAAACTTTGGTCGCAGTAATGCCGAGATTACGCAACGGCTGCGAGATTAGAAGCCGTAATACAGATTTTTTAAATTATTTTTATTATATCAAGTGACGGGACGAACAAGTCGTGCGCATGATGGTAGGCTACACGCCTGTTGTACTGTTACAACTGTTACAGTGCCACTCAGAGCTTTAAATTGCAAAGATCTGAGATATAAGTTGACAAGTAACATGTGTCTGTAATTTCACCAGCACCCTTACCCTTCAAAACCGGAACGCAGTAATGCTGACATTACTGCTTGGCGGCAGAAATACGTAAGGGGCTGCACTTCCCTGGATAAACTCTTTCACAAGGACCTCTACTGCTGCTAATATACTTACACTTGCGGCTCGACGTCGTCCATGTTTGAGGGTGTGAAATAAGGGTTAGCCGCTGCGGGGCGGAACTTGTAGCCCGTCATAACGAAGAAGACAAACGTCGCCATCTCACGAAACATCTCATCTATCCACGAGTACTGGAATGGCACTGTAATCTGCAAAACGATTATTGGATACTATAGGACTATCTAAAGACAACAGTGGCTCAAACCAAAATAGCTTTTTAATATATTTTCTTAATAGTATCAGGTTACGGAACGAACAAGTCGGGCGCCTGATGGTAAGGTACACGCCTGTCCGTAAAAGTTGCAGTGCCCCTCAGAGCTTTAAACTGCAACGATGTGATGGGCACTGCCACCACGTCTGTTACCCTGAGACATAAGTTGACAAGTCCCATGTGCCTGTAATTTCACCAAAAGCCGAAAAAAGGAAATAAAAAGCAAAAGGTAATTTTTAACTAATAAATAAAATTACGCTAAATGTGTTTAGAGTGTGAAGTGAAAGACATTAGAGCTTTGTAACTTTGCTTTGCACCCGAGCGCGTTACAACGTTCGGCTTGTTTTTTTTCTAAACCAAAACATTAGGAGCTTTTAAGCTAGGTTGCTATTCTGATAATACATCGAAATGTACGCAAAAACACGATGAATACAGACGAACTGCATTTTAAGTGTGCAAAATTACAACTTTTGTGCAGTTTCTCATTGGTCACATGTACGTCAGAACTTGTGACTGTGCTTTTTAATAAATAGGGTATTCCACCGTAAATGAAAATGTAATAGTTAATGCAAAAAAAATTGACGCGGAAGTAGAAATTAAAATAATTGTAAAATCGATTAATATGGTCGACGATCATAGTGACGTTCATATTATCCATCGAGTATATAACCAGAAATATAGACGAAATGTCTTTTAATTTGTTTGAAAACTATTCTGCCATATCATTACTGTGACAACTGCGCTCCGATCGGCTGGCCCGAGTTCGAAACAATTAACGGGTGTCGTCAATTGTTTCAGTTCAAATCGACCAGTTAACTTGAGCTTTGCTATAATGGACGAAAATTGCAAAATTACATATTTAATTACCGATGAAATGAGATTCCGTTTGTTTTGTAACTAAATGTTGTGCTGTTTTTCCCACACCACCGAATAGAACAGCACGGCATTGTTGGAGATATTATCTTTATTACAATAAATACAGAATATTTTTTGGAATATACGGAGATGTACACACAGGTCAGTAGTCGGGCTGTCTATATTTCAGTGCAAACGGGAGTTGATATTTATAAGAGCTGTATCGCTAATATGTTACCAGGTATATATGGCCCTTATTTCGTCTCTATTTCTGGTTATGTACTCGATGATATTATTCCTTATGTTAGAATACACACAGAATATCATATCACAACACAATGATAAATTAAAAATATTCCAGAAGAAAATGCAATATTTTTTAATCTGGCCCCCTGTGAACTTTCGTTTTTCTGAAACTCCCCCCAAAGAAAAAAATTTGGCTTCCCCTGCTAGACAACCACCTTGATGATGATAAACATGAGTACCTTTAATAGTGAAACTATGATCCTCGTGAAGTAAATGTAGCAAACGACCATGATGTAGAAGTGGCGGAAGAGCTTTAGCTTGCGTAAGTTGATAGCCGCCTTGCCGTCCGTGGACGACGCGTCCTGAAGGTGGTGTATCGACCTGCACAATTACACTAATTATACTAGGTGTCTTTTAAATAAACGCCAAAACTTAGGAGCCTTTCTGTATATCAAACAATTACATATAATTCATAAAAAGTACCAGTAAAACAAAATCTAGATTATAATAATTATATATACAAATTCGTAAGATGTGCAGAATTGAACTGTAGTTGGTAATAGCGGAGACCCTGGTGTGGCAAAAGACGCTGGTTCGAGTTCAGTCATATCGAAGGAATTTTTCTTTGTATTGTTCGAATTTATATCAATAATAATAACAAAGGAGTGGTGTAGTTCACAAAAAATATACGAACATAGTAGCAGTAAAAACATTATGATATTCAATAAAATTAAATAAATATTGCATAGATCGTAATATAGACAAAATATACGCATGCAGGGAAACACGTATGACAGTAAAACCGGTGGCTTGATTGAGCATCTGATACTGACCACACCACGGGGAATAGAATGGCGACGCAGCACAAAAGATCAACGAAGATGAAGACGTCGCGCCACGCGTTATGTTCCGCCGCACCCTCCTCGCTTTCCGCGATAATTATCTCTGCCACGTTCGCCACCACCTGCATATAACAACGTTTGTAGAGAAAAAGAAATAAATATTTAACTGACGAGTTCTTAGGTTTTCGCGATTGTTACACATAGGAAATGGAACTACTTTTCCGGACGGTCACCCGTGGCCATGGGAGCTGTAAAGGGCCCGAAACGTCGGTTTGTTTAAAGAAACAAATATACCCGATTTAAATCCGGGGAAACAGTTTCATTTCCTAAATATTTAACTGCTTTCTAATTTTCGAAAATCCATTCAGTTAGATTCTTCCTACATATCTACTCTACTGCAACGCTACGAAAAAAAACAGGAAGAGCCAGCAGTGTTTAAGACACTCACTTACTTAAAACATATTTTCTATATATTATATACATTTTTATTTACCGGAAGTAAATCGCGTATATATTTGTTTTTCAAACCAACGTTTATGGCCCTTCAAAGCTCCCAAGGTCACGGCTGACTGAGATGTGGATGTCATGTGCCCATGGGACTTGTAAAGAGCTCGAAACACTGGTTTGTTTGAAAAACAAAAGTACACAATTTAGACCCGAAAATAATTTCGTTACCAATGGGTAACAATCGCGCAAACCTAAGAACTCGACTGAACCAACCTCAAAAGTTCGTGGAATCACATCTATTTGCCAAGTTTTATTGAAATTGGTTACCAAAAAGTGCGAGAAACCGGATTCATCCCCTAGTTTGCCACCTTAGGTGTGGAATATTTACTTCAAATTTAAATGGGATCACTTCTGAGGTACCGTCTTTCCAACAAAAAAAGAATCATCAAAATCGATTCACGGATACCGCCGGAGTGATCGCGTAACATACATACAAAAAAATGCATTCGGATTGAGAACAAGTAACCAATATAAAAATAAACCATTCGAGTGTTTGTCAATACGTATACCGTAAAATAATTTAAAAAATTGGAGAATTATGACTTCTATTTCTTGAAGTTGCCGCAATGGTAACGATGCATTTAGCGCAACCAAAGAACACAGACTTTCACATTCGATGACATTTAATGACAGCACTTTATTAAGCAGCAATAATTTGTAAAAATCATATATTATAAATATATTAAAATTAGCGTGTACAAAAGATCTAATATTAAGGACCTACCTGAAGCGGAATAACGATCATGAAGATCTTCTTGTCGCGGTCGGCGAGTATGTGCTTGATGAAGTTCCAGCCCGTGCCCACCAGCACGATTGTCACGAACAACACTGCGCCTTTCAACCTAACAACGCAAATGATAAAAGGTGTATCTTTAGACAGCATTAAAGTAATGGACACTTTTGAGTTATTAACATATCTGGTATCAGGGAAACGAGATCTACAACCCTCTATAAGTTTTCTTACATCTTAGTTAGTTTCAGTTTCATTGTTAAATAAGTAACATTTACGGAATTGACATTTTTTAAAGAAATAAAAAACCTTATGTGCCGATATCACAAAAGTTCACAAAATACAAAATATGCTTTGTTTATGACAAGAAAGGCAGCATTCAAATTTCAATATTCTGCAAAATCATGTGAGTGATTGTTGGGACAGCCCAATGTTGACCCGGAGGACGTCATTGCACGTTACAATATGAATATTTTAAAGTTAATGTTTCTGATTTATATTTCGTTTTTCATCTGGATTATTTTTAGACTAACATTTAGTTCTTTAAGATTTTAATTTTGTTTTACTAACACTTTTGTATGGACCACCTTCAGAAGTGTGAAATAAAGTTATTTTATTTTATTTTTACTTTTTTTATTGTGATTGTGACCGCGCAGTTACTGCATTGGGCATCTATTGATATAATATTTTATATTTTCTCTACGTACATACACATACAGTTGTAAATAAACTAAAGTAATGGGTAATTTTCAGGTTATTTTCTGTACCTAATTTTGGCAATTTTTATTACTTAAATATTTTAGAATGTTGATATGACGTATTACGTAATACTCGAGTGTAGTAACCTGAAATATTATTTAATATTTCACGGCAATATGAACAAATGCAATATAAACTTAAATTTTTTTAAATGCCACCAAAATTAGGTAGAGAAAACTAACCTGAAAATTACCCTAATGCATTATTAAACATATTTTACATTATGTTTGAAAGATATTGAAGCCTATAACTGAATTAAAACCCATAATTTTTTCGCAAGTACAATCACCTTTTTAAAGTTGTGTGCTGATCAAAACTACAACCTGTATAAACAGCAGAGAAATTAAATTAGAATGCAAAATTTATTAAGGCGCATTTTGACCCTCGCTTGTTACAGTTATTATTGACACAAATAAAGTTTGATCTGAGACGGCAATCAGTAAAGACACTACCATAATTAGTTAATGTAACTATAGTCGATGTTACAGTAGTCAAAATAACATCGTTCAGACTTGTAACTTCTTATACATTATATATTTATTTAAAAATTCCCTGCGTAATAACAACGTTAGTGGCCTAGTGGTCTCGGTTTTGAAGTCCTGTATGACCAATTTGGGAATGGAAATTATCTAAATTGGTTTTAGAACGGGTTCTGGATTAATTCACTGTTCATAGTAAAGGCAATTGGCTATATGGAGACCATGAAATTAATAATATAATATAATAATAACGCATACATTCGTACCTCCACACTAGGGAAATCATATAGACAACTACAAATTACACCCAAACTCAGGAGAGAAAAAATGTAGGGACCCCGGGACCTCTGCGTGGCAGACCAGCATCATAACTGTTCGGTCACCGAGGCAGTGGAATCGATGTGGTCATGTTATTATTATTACTAAAAGTGACTAAAAATAAAAGTACTTACAAATGCGTAATATAATACAGAATAGCCCACGCAGTCACATGTTCACCCCTGGTCTGTATGAAGTGGTAGTTGATCGCATGGAAGGCCAAGGACAGCGCCTTCAGGTACACCAGCACACACATGATAATGTGTATTCGGTACACCGTGTGGCGACTGGTGCGTAGAAGGAATGTCCAGAAACCAGCGCTCAAGAAGAATATGAGAGACATCATGCTGTATAGTGCTGGCAACGGCATTTCGCCAGCTGATAGGAAATTGCCATCGTTGCTTTCGTAGATTTCAATCTGAAATATGTATATATGTAACATTTATTTAACAGAATTAAAGGATAAATAAAATTTTTCGAACACTGGTTTTGCTCAAACGATAATGTACATACAGATTTAAACAATCGGAGTTCGTTTCTCCCAGCATGTACATCAGAGCAGCGCTTAAAGTGCACTTGAGGTTATCAGCACAAAAGTGGTGTAAGTCACATTTTTTTTTTCTACAATATTATTTTAAATAACACTAAAGTAAAAAAATATCTTTATATTTGGATGCAAAATTATTTTAATTATGTTATTAAAATTAACTTATTATATATTTTTTGCGCTGATAGTCACATTTAGGCACTACACACGAGCATAAAAATTCTAAGACTACGGCCAAGTCAAATTATGCAAATTCTTATTTACTTCCAATGGATTAAAAATGCAACTTTCAACAGAAAAGATAACCATATTGACAGACGATTCACCGTATCGCAATATTCGCTTAGCCTGTCAGTGGTGCCTATAAATCCATGCTACTGGTTAGGTCGAATTTCCTCTTGCATTTTGTTCAAAAATAATCCTACTATCGGCGAAAGTCGCCAATGCGCAATATACACACACAATATATTCAGGGGCACAAATAAAAGTAAGAACATAAAATTTTTAACACGTTTACATTTCAATACATAAAAATTAGACATAAAGTAACAATTACATTAATATCTTTTAACATTGCCTTAGTAGCGTTCTGCGCTAGCGCTTGCGTTTCTCAAAATGTAAAAAAAATGCATTTTTTACATTTTGTGACAAAGCTGAAACAGTTTAACATTGACTAAATCAAAGTTTAATTAAATAATTCACTTTTCCAATGAATGTATACGAAATTTACAAGAACACAAAATCATCCTCTAACCGCTCGACAAACCTGTAGTATTAGAAAATTAAAATATATTAATGAAAAAATTTACAGTTTTCATTTTTTATTTTAAAAGTAAAAAATAACCTGCCAGTATTTTTAAAAACACTGCTTTTGACGTTTTTACTACTATTCCGCTAAATATGACTGTGTGCACTAGTTGTATAATTTTTTTGTCAAGATTACATTATTTGTCCATTACACAGAATAAATTTTAAATTCCAAATGCCCCGGCGCATACGAAGAAATAACATTTCACAGATAGGATGGCCCATAAATTGAACACCCTGACACATCATGACGTGTTATTTATAATAAAATAAATAACGACTATCGAAATAACTTACGATGGTGTTGATGAGCGGCGCGGGTTTGCCGGTAGCGCGCGGGCAGTTGTGGAAATATAGGTTGTAGAGCCCCTCCTCGTTGCTCGATGCCACGTACATGGCAAACTGTTATGCACAATACATTTTATTAATACGACTTGCAATCTGGGGAGCGGGAGCGCACTTTATACAACACGACTACAGGCGTGTAACAGAATTCGCATAGTGCGTGTCAGAATTACAAACTTTAGTAGTAAAGGTTTTAAGATAGGACATTATAAAGATATATTTCGTGTTATATAAAGTTAATATTAGTGCAATCCTTTTGAGAAAGATTAAAAATCGTGCCCAAGTCTAGCAACTCATCCAAAGACGAACACGTAATAGTGAATTTGCACACGCAGTGACCACGGTTTTTTGTTTAACGCCACTCATAAACCGCCTCGCGCTAGGGAAACCCTGTATCGTGGGTGTCATCGACACATGCATAGACAACCACAAGTCACATCTAAACTCACGAGCGAAATAAACGTAAGCTATACAAATGTTTCTCCCAGTCCTGGAATCGAACTCGGGACCTCTGCGTGATAGACCAGCTTGTTATCCATTCGGCTACGGAGGCAGTTAACGTTGCCGCAGCGCTTACATTCTCGTTTAAACGCATTAGACAGATTGTAGGAGAAAAAGTATAACTATATTGTTTAGTCGCTTACGATAAACTATGTACATAGCGTAGCGTAATAAGTAAGGTAACTGCATACAAACGTTGCAGCGCGGCTTGTATGTGTACACGCCCGTTGCGCGCCGTGTACGGACGTACACATTCACATAATGTCGTGCGGCGCTCGAGTTGCACAGCGCGGGTCTCACGCGCCATTCATTATAGAATTAAAGCGTTTTCGCCCGGTGTTTTAAATATTTAAAATATTTTTCTCTATCAAAGGAGACAGATACGCGTTCATACAATTTTGGGCCAAGATGTAAAACGATCAAACTGGTGTCAATTAATAGAAAAATTTGTGGATTTTGGCAATCTGAGCGCAAAGTTTATGCAACAACCTGTACTTAACAGCTGATATTTGAAGTGGAATTGATTTTTTTTTTTTTCTATATAAATAGTTATGATTGTTATGCATTTGTAAACTTGAAGGTCGTTAAGAATCTCAAAAATTATGGATTTAAAAGATTTATCTATTTGTGTATGCTATATTGTTGTGTTTTTGTAAAAGTAATTTGAACTCTTCAATGTAACAATATGTTCCATCAAATATTGTCACATAAATATACAGTTGAGACACAACAAATCACGCTTAGTTGCGTGTACCTAATATATCTGTAACTACGAGAGGAGGCTGAAAAGTAATCTACATAAGTATCAAATAAAACACGATCATGATTACTTTTTTTTATATATCCCTGTATGAGAAATGCATTTACAATAATATTTGTTAGCAAGGTACGTTAGTCTGTTTAAAAAAGTAATGGTTTTAAACCACATAATTTATGGAAGCTCATATTTTTACACTCGCAACATTCACTTTCAAAGGCAGTAACATTTTCATAATTATATTTCGCAACAAAACAAATCGCAATTGCTTATCAACATAAGTCATCTAAGATCTATAGATCTGGCGAATGTGCCGCAAATGCGCCTGTTGGCGATAGGCTCGCGACCTGCCGCTCGCGCGCCACATACAATAACATGTATTTTATTGCACGCATGCAGCTCGCGTGCAGCACGCGTGCAGGACGTGTGCAGCGCGCGTGCAGTGCGTTCACCCTAACATCGCCACTTTGTACAAATAATGTACTAATTAGAGATCAGGTAATGTCATTGTTTGCCATATCGTTTAGTTCAAAGAATTAAAAGAAAAATACGCCTACACACAACTTACAAGGTAAATAAATTCTAATTATACACATATATGATGAACATACTGTAGTAGTAGTACGGTAGTTTCCTAGAGACCGACACCGACAGGCTATACTAATTTTGTTGTGAAACCATAAATATAACATTAGTTAAATATGAAGACATTCGCGATAGTTAAACATAGGAAATAAAAAAAATACAATATATTTGAGTAAATGTACTGAGAAGATGTCACAGTCAGGATACGAGCCAGTGATGCGAGTTAGTTCCAAAAAATGCTTGCCGTAGACTCGCCATTGAGAAGCAGAGTAACAAAATTTTGCAATGGCAATTGCACAGTTAGCTCGATTGATAGCCACTGCCAAGCGCACTTCTCTTAACATTAAACAGAATATCAAACGTATAAAATCCTGCCATTGACGATCTATCGAACTGAGATGATTTAAAAATTTGCACACTTGGAGGTCTAGTCTCGAACTAGGGAATTCCCTGTACTATGCGTACCAGACCAACGAAATTCGCTCTGGAGCACTACCGAGAACACACAGATCAGAAACAATTCAGGAAAGTTCATTTCTCAATTGGGCTTCGGGGAGCAGTGACCAAAGTGCAAAAATGACCAAAGTAACAAAAAGAAGAAAATTTATTGATCCTACTCGGATAGCGAACCAGGGACCTCATTCAGCGCCCACAGTGGAAATAATTGGGCCACTGAGATTGTTATTTGTTAGGTACATAGCGAGTGGACGTCTATGAGCTCTAATTATTCCAGTGGGAGACGGACGTGATAGCATATATTATACATATATGTATATTCTAATTTAAAAAATCTAAAAATCTGACCAAGTGAATACAAATTCCTGAAAAGGACATGTGTGTACCGAATAAGATCTTGGCCCAACAACAATATATATACAAAAACTTATAACATCGTTCCAAAGCAATAAGAATTAAAAGTTATCGAGAAAACACTGTACAGCGTAAATAATTAGAACGAATTATCGGTTTTTGACAAATGACGCACCAATTAATGGTGTGATACAGTGTATTTACAGAATGTCACCATTGCGTCACCTTTAATAATATTTAAAATGTCCCAGAAATACATAAATTACACTAAAAACCAATGACCGGTTTTTGAATGGTTCATGTTTTCTTCCGTATCTTTGCGATTTTATTAACAACTACTGAAACAGTTTTGATGATTCGTTCACCAAATGACCACTGACCTAATTTTGACGAGAGAATACGGAAAAAACAGAAACCAATCACAAACCAGACAGCGGTTTTATTTAAAAAAAATAACAGCCTTTACGTATATGCTGTGTAATTACGAATACTTTAACTGCCTCCGTGGCCGAATAGTTACCATGCCGGATGCTACGCAGAGGTCCCAGGTTCGATTCCCGGGCCGGGAGAAATATTTGTATGGCCTACATTTATTTCTCTCGTGAGTTTGGGTATCTTTTGTGATTGTCTACGTGCGAGTCCATGGCACCCGCGACGCAGGGCACCCTAGAGCGGGGCTATGTTGAGTGTGTGCGTTATTATTATTATTATTATTACTTACACTAGTGTTATAATAATCATATCCGTCTCGCGTTTCTTTGGTGATATTAAGGACGGCGTTCGAACATTGCTCGCGGGCAGTCTTCTCCTCCGCTGGAAATACGAAGATTAAAACATTCAAATGATATTGACGGGTTTACATCCTTTTTAAACGCTCTTGTGAGCGTTTGTATACTACGTCCGAGTCGTATCAAGGGGTCTACTCTCGATCTCCGTCCGACATCCGTCCGAAACAATTACTGTCAAATAAGTAATATTCGACGAAATTAAACGAAAAGTATCAAGTATGAAGCTTCATTCGCATCACGCGTCTTTTGATTTGGTCAAGTATTGTTTATTTGGCAGTAATTGTTTCGGACGGATGTCAGACGGAGATCGAGAGTAGACCCCCAGTTCCGAAACCGAAAAATGACAGTGGGAAATGTCACAGGTGTCCGAACCGACATTTTATCTCTAGGTGTTCAAGCGATAGTCGTATTTTCTCGGAATTGAATCGAATGTAGTGCACAAGCGACATCCGAAGTGGGTCCGACTTTTCTAGATTTGTATAGTCTCGGATTTGGAACGAATAGGAATCGGATGCAGTGCGCAAAACGCGCTTAGAGTGCTGGTGAAATTACAGGCAACTTTATTGGCACACGTGTCAACTTATGTCTCAGGGTGACGGGCGCAGTGGCAGTGCCATTTAGATCTTTGTGATTTTAAGCTCCGAGTGGCACTGCAACTGTTAGGCTTAACTCACGCTGGCGCAGAGTCGAAGCGTCGCGACGCGTCTTTTTTTTTCGCCTATAGCATATTCATCTATATTTTCCAATTATTAAGGTACAAATTTGTGTTTTGCAAATATGCGCGTTGACGCTTAGTAGCATTCGAGCATCTTCGCGCGTCACTTGGGCGCCATGAGGCGTCAAACGCCGACCAAACTGCGATCCCGGCGCACTAATGCGATAGTCGCCAAGCGGTGTAGTTGAAAAACAGGACGCGACGCGACGCTTCGACTCTGCGCCAGTGTGAGTTGAGCCTTATGGACAGGCGTGGCGCTTACCCCGTTCACAAAAAATATATACAATTACAGCCTAGATGCGAGAAAATAGACTTTAAAACTATCGTGCTTGTTCACTCTGTAGTCACGGGGGGTGGCTAAGTGTGTAACTGTTCCGAAATATACTAAATCTATCGTTCGGAAAAGAACCCGTACCGTAGTAGGAAACCTGTAATTAGTGACATTCATTTAGATGGGACAATGCTTGCCCTCCATGCAGGAGGGTTCGGTATATTTTTCTTTAGCGATAAAGGTAACCATTGCGAGTAAACAATTGAATATATTCGTTGTCATTCACATTCGTGTCAATACACAGCCCAATAAGTTCAAGTTACGATATCTTTACCACTGTAATGTACTTTGTTTCCCTTTACGTTTTCCTTGTTTTTATTTTGTTTAATTAATACACATGATCATGTTTCCTTCGTTTTACCACGAAATATTTAAATGACACAATGGCTTTATAAGTAACTGGAATTTTAAAAATGATGTAGAAAATTTCTTGAAAACATTTTTGCACATAAGTGTTTAGAGAAAAACAATGCAACTGTTACAACTTTTACTTATTCTAACGTGTTTGAGATGAACAATCTTCATTTCAGTTCATAACAAGCATGAATAAAAGTTATAAGAACTATATCACTTTTCCGTCATGCAAGCTTGTTTATGAAAGGACTGATTAATGAAGCGAATGTCACCTTAGCAAATAGAGATATGAAATCTCTAAGACTGACTCATCGCTAAACAGGAATGACAATATTCTGTTATTTCAGACGGGTCGTTCTATATCCAACCTTAGCCACATTGTGGGATCTTTGTGAGTGAAGATTAGATCTGCCCTCCGCTAACTAAAGCGTGGCTAAGTGCGTGACAAAATATTTTTTTGAGATATCATAAAAACCGTAACCCGGTTTTCAGAAAATTGAAATTGTTTAATGCAGCTGTGTATCGTTAGGGTAAGTTCCGAAAAGTCGAACACATAAACTAATTTTAACTGTTTAAAAGAGAATTTTGTGATCTATTTTTTGCTATTTAAAACTATTATTTGCCCATTTGTCACTTAGCCGCTTTTTAGTTATGAATGGCAGAGATAGTGCCTAGTGCAACCAGCATATCTATTTTCAGAAGCTCGAGGATTTCTTCAAGCGTTTCAGAGCACCAAGAAAGGATATAGATGTGCCCAGGATATGCTCCCGTTCTGCACTCTATCAATATATAAGCACAGAAAAAGAAGAAACATTTTTCATGTTTGTTTAGGGGCAATGTCAGTTAAAGTCTTTACATCTTGTTGTTTTCTCAGTTTCCTTTTTTATAAAAAAATAGGTGCGCTGTTGACCTCCATCTTACCTGATGGAAAGTGACGATTAAGTAGACAATGGAGTATGCACACCTAAATAACGCCTATTCACTCTCGCCTTGAAAAGGCCCAAGTTATAGCGTTCAGGAAACAAGTCTGCAGGTAGGCAGGGAGTTCCACTCCATATCCATTCGCCATATAAATGCAGAAGCGAAATGCTTCGTGCAAATCCTTGGAATATCCACAACAAAGTGTTTTTATTGATTTAGCCATGGCTCATTTGGCTCAGGTTCTCAAGTTATAATTTCAAGGAATGATGAAATTATACACCAGTAAAAGGTGAATCATTCGTTAGAGTGGAGCATAGTAGACCAGAGAGATTCGATAAAACTGAAATATCTAGTATAATATATGTTCTTATTTATTTTGCGACACACACGTCCATCACTCATCACGTTCAGGGCTCATTGAAAACCAGCGCACCAGTCAATTACGGCTGTGGCATAAGCTGAATGATGAAGTCCTTTTGCGTACGCCACAACCGCCCAAATGACAGCACAAATTTGTTTTTTGCTTTTTATCGCTTTTTGTATTTTATGTCGTTCTTTTTTTGTATTTTTTATTTTGTTTATTAATTTTGTTTTGTTTGTCTAAGTGTTTTCAATATTTATTTGTGTTGTGGCGTTGCAATAAATGTCTATTCTATGCTATTCTATTGAAACTGGTCGCAATAAACAATCAGTCCTACATCTGTACACACAAAGGCGACTACTAGAAGGAAATCTCCAGACCAACATAACCTGACAAAATTGCATACCAAGAATTGGATGTATCAAAATGGAAGTACCTGCAAGATCGCGCCGCCGTCGGTTTATGAACATGTACTGCGACTGGCGTTTGCCTTGGTCGAACTGTACGGCCGATCGATTATGGTACAGGTGCAATGCAGTCACTTCGCCCTTGCACGTTATGTTTAATCTGTAAGTCAAAGTCAAGAGTTCTTTAATTCATTTATATGTTAAATACTATTGAAATCATCATATCTTTAGCTTTACTAATCATTCGTAAGATATATTCGAAGTAGGGCTAGCACGACAGCGTGCGACTTGCGCGAGAGCGACATAGAAGCTCGAAATATTGCTATTCTCAATGCAAAAATAGCAGTATCTCTCGTTTTATGTTATTTACCGCGCTTTATGTCGCTGCCATTGCCATTAGGTAAGGTAATGTGCACGACTAATGAGAGGAAATGAGTACCCATACGACCTACATGCCAGGTGCTTTGCTACTGCAAAATAGCAGAATAACGCAATTGTATAGTAGTTGGAGTGTAATTCCAATTTTTGCATTTCAAATGAATTCTACATCAGTTTGGCTGTAGTTGCAACTGATATGTACAACTAAAATGTGATGTAGCTCCTGTGACTTGGAATCAATCTTTACGTGAAAATTCTAATACATTGATAGATAAAAATTGTGTGTTATGTAAGCAGTGAAGGTGACCTATAGTATACATACTTCAACCGTTTGAAGTCCATCTTCAAGAAGACAATGGCGGGGTGTTGTGGAGAGAGGAACCCACTCTCTGTTTCATTTAAGAAACACGTGTCAGTGTGCGCTTCTAAATACGGATTGATGGCATCATTCACCGTTCGATCCAGGGTAAACCCATACTGTCGAAATTCAAAAATATGTAACATTCCTTTTTTTTATTTATGCTCTAAAAACAAAACATTCAGTATAACATAAACACAAGTAAGTTTTTCCATATACTGCTTAAATTTCTTCTCCTTCAAATTGATTAAGAACTTTTATTGGACTTTTATTTATTCCTTATACATTTTGGCTTGTTCCTAATCTACGCTTTATTTTCTGTAATTTTATTTTAAGTAAACTTCATCACTGTGGCAGGTACCCTTCCGCTTGCTTTATTAAAAATATTAGCATACCTCGCCTTCCACTGGCCCTGTGGGTAACATGAAGTTGATCATGTGGACATCCAACATCCCGCCTTGAAAGAACCCAAAGGTTGTGAGGTCCACATAGTGTCGGTCATCATCCTGTCCAAACAAATTTTTAATCAATAGCAATTATATTGTAACACATTTGTTTTTCAAGCAGGGTAGGACTCCTCTTACTACTTAAGTTGATCATTAATATTAAACACACTTAGGGTCGTATTCCAGAACTCTACTCAATGCTCAAATCAGGATCTGATTATGATGTCAAACACTGGAAATACGACCCGAATGGCAGGGACTTGAATATGATTTCGAGTGCTTTAAACCATACTCAAATCCTGACTTGAGCATGGAGTAGAGTTCTAGAATACGACCCTAAGACTGTCAATAAATTGAATTGTAAGGGATTCTCCACACCATATTAAAAACATCATTGTTGTCACATTCTTATTATAACAGTATAGTCCTTCTCTGTTTTACACACAATCATTAGCTCATTAGCTCGCTAGTACTGCATTTAGAAGTGTTTAGAATAAAAGAAAACATATAGTTTCTTCTGCCCTCCTTGTCATAACTCATAACTAATGCATTTGCATATTGGCACCAAAATTTTTTTGTTTCTTTGAAAAATGTCAATTGCAGTGAAATAGCTTAACCATAAAACTGAAACTAAATAAGATATAAAACTATCGCTTATAAATGAGATATAAAAATATCGTTGTAGTGTGTCAGACACTGTAGAGAAGCAGTCTTAACAGGGCTTTGTGGCTTGATAGAGAATACTATCACATCCAGCCTCCATGGATGACCAGACTGACAGGCCACAAAGACTTACTAGACTGACAGGAATTCTATATTAGACTTTCTTTTGGACAAAAGACGACGACCGACCTTCCTTTCTTTGACAAAGGATGACGAGACAAGTCCTGACTAAACCTCTGACGCGATCAGACGCTTTTTCGTGACTGTATTGTACAGACAGACCATACAAATAGAGAGTGCAGATTCCGCTATGAGGCAGAAGAAACTCCTGTGCATCTCTCACGCAATGCTACCCCTGACGGACGTACGAAGTTTCATTGTGGGAAGGCATACTAGCAGAGGACATAAAAACAGTCAAGAGCCAGAAAAGTCCTTCAATTCTTTAATGTTGTTGGCCTTGGCCCTGAACTGTAATGAATGGGGAATTAGACCAGTAGGGCTAGCACGACAGGGTGCGACTAGAGCGTACATATGAATTATTTCAAACTGAGACATTGAGAAATTGAAATAATTCATATGGATATGTTATTGAACATATTAGTTAGGATATTTTTTACAGAAATTTCCAGACATAAATCTTCCACTAATATCAAGGGATTACTGTATTTGATTATATTTTATTGCAGCACACACACAAGCGCGCATGGTAGGTCACCCCCACACACATACAACTATTTATCAGATATATAAAAATCAAAGCTTGGCCCTCAAGTGATCGTAGCAACAATGATCACTTTGCTAGTGTAATTATTCATTGGTCGTTTATAAACCGAGCTACATGACATTACTACAGACTCAGTAATCTAATTTGTGAGGACCGCGCACAACTGCAACAATAATTAACTAGCTACCAGCTGTTGAGTTTTCTTCACAAATACGTTTCAACTATTTAAGCATTATACCTACAGCTCTTAACACAATTTAAGCACTTTGTACTGATTCGATACGCTCCTATGCACATTTAAAGCCACGCAGTCGGCGAAATACCAATTTATACATAATAAAATACAGGATTTTCGTACCGTAAGGAATAACTTGTGTATCCTGCCAGTTACAACAGCGACGGTCAATAACAGACACAACAAAGACGGTTTCATTGTAGAAAACATTTTTCATGACTAAATGTTAACAGAATTATTGCACAAATTCTAATTATTGCTGTAAATATCAAGAATTTCAACGATAATTCCAACTGCAAGAAAACTTGAATGATTTTTTTTATACATTTTCATCCATTTATTTGGGTAGGCAAAGATTTTACCATACAGCCTCTCCATAAAAACTTGAATGAAAATTATGACAGCTCAGACTCGGTAATAGTTGTATAATTTTCAATACGCAGCGACTCGACAAAAGTAATAGGTTGTCTGCATTATACATTCTTCATCCTTTTTTTTTCCTTACTCTAAGCTCTTCACTGAAAAATGTAGTCCGCTAAAACAAAACTCTTTACAGTAGTAGTTCAAAGCAAACCCTTTTGTACAGGGGTCAAGAGCACGTCAAGATTGACACATAAGACTTAAATCCAACTCTATGCCGCTTACGATAAGAACGATTCAAAGTATGTATGTACTGTTTATACTTCCTTTATTTTTTCCATCCTCTAAGGTATGTACAGGCAACAGCACATCAAGCTACATCGCACCCTTAGTAATATAAGGGCACAATCCAAAAAAAGTAGATTTTTGGGAAATTTGGGAATTGATAGGGACTTAAATAATAAATGGGATCAAACTTAAATAGCTCCATATTTCTGTTATATTTTTTGTACTATATGGGTCTAACTTGAAAGTGTTTTTTTAACTTGCTTGAAACTTATGGAATTTATTTATATTATTTATTTTTTATTGCTATTTATAATACATTTATCAAAGAACAAATCTGCCAAATTTCATATTTATAACTTAAATAATAAGCATGTTATTCATTGACTTACAAATAAATGGACGACGGGTCTAATACAAAAACCACGAAAAAAATGTCCCAAGTCAACCTATTCGAAATTTAAATTGTAATGTCATCGCAGTATCGCGCTGTCAGTAGAACAAATGAAGACTAAAGCGGAGTGTCGCGCTCCGTATACGATTTTAGCGCCTTACAAGTGCGGACACTTTTTAGCGCGGACCCGACGTCCATATAATTGTAAGTCAATGATGTTATTTGAAAAAATAGGTGTAATGTAGGAATCCAGAATCTTAATACGCGATTTCCCAAAAATCTACTTTTTTGGATTGTGCCCTTATATTACTAAGGGTGCGACATATTAACGTATCTTGTTTCGTTGCACTGTAGGCGATTTTCGAACAAAAATGTGTAGTCTGATGTGCTGTTGTCCGTACATACCTATTTGTATTCGTATCTCAAAGTAGCACTATAAAAAAATTTACAAACCACAGTCAATTTTTTTCCATCCTTTGGAAACCAATTTTTTTCCATCTAAGCTCTAAGGTCAAGCCGTTAGAGGTGGTCAAGCCTTTAGACGGTGGGAATGGTCAAGCCACAGTCTGATCCAGAGGCAATAAAATGTATTGTATAATATCTACCCGTTTTTAGAAGGTTTTTACCGTAGAGGATGGAAAATAAAATATATTTAAGGTAGAAGTATTCTTTGGTCTCGTCTCGGACGTCACTGTTGTGAGTGTTTTGTTTTGTTAAAATTATAGAAATAGTGAGCAAGTAAAAGTTACACCACAGTGTGTGTAATAAATCAAGTGTGGCAGTTCCATACCGATATGAGTGTGCGCACACCCCGCGTGCCGTATACGGACGCACAAATTCGCATAATTTCAAGATGCACTCGCGTTGCATAAGGCCGTCTCAGTGTTGGGCGATCAATTAAATTTCAATCAATAATTCAATCAGATTAAAAAATCAATTCAATTGAAATCGGGGGGGCCCGTTTGTGGGGCTCGGTTGGGGGCGCCCGGTTGGTGGCCCGGTTGGGGGGCCCCGGTTGGGGGGCCCCGGTTTGGGGGCCCCGGTTTGGGGGGACCCGGTTTGGAGGCCCCGGTTTGGGGACCCCGGTTTGGGGGCCCCGGTTTGGGGGGCCCGGTTTGGGGGCCCCGGTTTAGGGCCCGGTTAGGGGGCCCCGGTTGGGGGCCCGTTTGGGGGCCCCGGTTTGGTGCCCCCGGTTTGGGGACCCCGGTTTGGGGGCCCCGGTTTAGGGACCCGGTTTGGGGGCCCCGGTTGGATGCCCGTTTGGGGGCCCCCAGGGGGCCCGTTTGGAGGCCGCGGTTGGGGACCTGGTTCGGAGCCATCAGGCCCCTTAACTGGCCCCTAACCGGGCTCTTAACCGGGGCCCCAACCGGGTCCCCCAACCGGGGGCCCCAACCGGGCCCCCAACCGGGTCCCCCATCCGGGCCCCCCAACCGGGACCCCCAAACCGTTCCTCTAAACCATGGCCCCCAAACCGGGGGCCCCAAACCGGACCCCCCAAACCGGGGCCCCCAAACCGTGGCCCCCAAACCGGGACCCCCAAACCGGGGCCCCCAAACCGGGGGCCCCAAACCGGGGCCCCCAACCGAGCCCCACAAACGGGCCCCCAACGCGGCCTCCAACCGGGGCCACCCAACCGGGCCCCCAACCGGGTCCCCAACCGGGCCCCCAACTGGGGCCCTAACTGCTGGCCCCAACCGGGGCCTCCAACCGGGCCCCCCAACCGGGCCCCGAACCGGGGCCCCCAACAGGGCCCCCAACCGGGGCCCCCAACAGGGCCCCCAACCGGACCCCCACCGCTGGCCCCAACCGCCGCCGCCCCACACCGGGGCCCCCAAACCGGACCCCCAAACCAGAGCCCCCAAACCGGGGCCCGCAAACCGGGGCCCCCAAACCGGGACCACCAAACCGGGGCCCCCAAACCGGGGGCCCAAAACCGGGGGCCCCGACCGGGGGCCCCCAACCGTGCCCCACAAACGGGGCCCCAATGCGGCCCCCAACCGGGGCCCCCCCAACCGGGCCCCACAACCGGGTCCCCAACCGGGCCCCCAACTGGGGCCCCAACCGGGTCCCCAACCGGGCCCCCAACTGGGGCCCCAACTGACCCCCATATGCCCTATAAATTTATCATAATTGTCAGTTTTAATTGTTAATTGTTAATCAAAAACATTGAAAAGATTGAAAATTGATTAATTGTTAATGGCCAATTGGCTTCTTTTAATTGTAAAATGAGCAAGAAGGTAGACCAATTTCTCTGCAGACCGATTACCACAGAACGAATAATTAGATTTCAAAATAATATCGGCAACAGTTTAAATTCCCTATCCCATATACCGGAGGATCCAAATACTTTATATAACACGATATTTGGTTTAATTAAAAATGAATTTGACAATATATTTAAATCGAAAACATTAACTTTCCATAGAGAGACTAAATTCAACGACTGGGCAACAGTAGGTATTCATAAGAGTAGGTCTCGTTTGTATGAGCTATATGCTATGAAAACTTATAATACTAATTCCAATTTCATAGAATATGTTAGAATTTATTCGAAAATATTTAAAAAAGTTTGTGTAGCTGCTAAGGTTAAGTTTCACAGCGACAAAATTAGACAATCGATAAATAAATCTAAAACTACTTGGAGCATAATAAATAAAGAGTCAGGCAGGGTTAAACTACACGATAGAGATATAGTTTTAGAATTAGACAGCAAACTTATAAAATCTAAAGATAAAGTAGCCCAAGCTTTTGAATCGTTCTTTTCGGAAATTGCTGTGAACACTACAAAATCATTAAATTCCTCCCCTTCACTTGCTATTGATCTCCTAAAGGAAAATGTTAACGTTTGTGGCAGTTTATTTAATTTTCGTCATGTTAATCCACAAGACATCATAAAAGCTTTTAAGTCAATACATGTTAAAAAAACTGAAGATCTCTGGGGCATATCAACTAAAGTTATAGACTCAGTTATTAATCTCATTTCCCCACAGTTAGCTGTAGCTTTCAATAGGTGCGTTGACGAAGGTGTTTTTCCCGATTTAATGAAATACAGCAAGGTTATTCCCTTATTCAAAAGCGGTAGGAAAGTTGATCCTAGCAACTATAGGCCCATTTCAATTTTACCAGCTTTAAGTAAAATATTCGAAAAGGTTATGCTAACTCAATTACTGTCCTATTTCGGTAGGAATCATATTTTTCATAGTGAACAATACGGGTTTACTAGTGGTAGATCGACTAGCGATGCGGGGGTAGCGTTACTAAAACACATCTTTGATGCTTGGGAAAGGTCCCAGAACGCTATTGGTGTTTTCTGTGACCTCTCAAAGGCATTTGATTGCGTTGATCATAATACTCTTATTAGTAAGCTGGAACATTACAGTGTAAATGGCAAGGCGTCGAAACTTGTCTCGTCATATCTCAACGGTAGAATTCAGAAAGTAGGCATAAATGGAGCGACTTCTTTGGGTTCTCCAGTAAAAATGGGTGTTCCGCAGGGCTCAATACTTGGACCTTTCTTATTTCTGATTTATATTAATGATCTGCCATTCTTTGTTAAGGACCATTGCGAAATAGTGTTGTTTGCTGATGACACATCCTTGATTTTTAAAACAGACAGACATGACATTAACTATGACCGTATTAATGATACCCTCTCTAAAGTAGTTTATTGGTTTAATGCTAACAATTTATTGCTTAATGCCAAGAAGACAAAATGTGTTAAATTTGAATTACCTAACGTAAAATCGACTAGTCCAAGCATAGAAATAAACGGAGAAAAGTTAGACCTTGTTAATAAAGCAGTCTTCTTGGGAGTGACCTTAGATAGTAAACTTCAGTGGTTTCCACATATATCCCTGGCCAGCAGATTAAGCTCCGCTGCATACGCAGTCCGCAGAATACGTGAGCTTACCGATGTTAGTACTGCTAGACTAGTTTACTTTAGTTACTTCCATAGTATAATGTCCTACGGGATTCTCATGTGGGGTAAAGCGGCAGATATTCAAACCATATTTGTATTGCAAAAACGAGCGATTCGTTCTGTGTACCGTCTAGGCTCTCGGGTATCTCTCAGAGAAAAGTTTAAGGAGACTGGTATCATGACTGTGGCATCACAGTACATTTACTCAAATATTTTATATGCCCGTAAAAATATACATAATTTCAATAAGAAAGAAGATATCCATAATATTAACCTTAGAGCTAAGTCCAAACTCATGGTACCACGATTTCGTTTAACCAAGGTAAACAACTCTTTTATGGGGAACTGTATACGTTTTTACAATAAGATTCCGGAGCATATATTAAGTTTATCATTTCCTAAGTTTAAAAACTACATTAAAAATATTTTGATCGAAAAATCATATTACAAAATTGAAGACTACGTGTTAGATAAAGATGTATGGAAAGACGACATGGCTCCTGAATCCACACAAATTTGATTCAAAATGTATTCCATAGCATTTAAGTTTATTTGAAAAGAGCATTCCCTAGAGTTTCTTGCTCGTTCTTCTCAGGGAGGTCAGCGTAGTGAACGAGCAGTACCTTAAATGTGACGTTTTCAAGTGTAAATTTATTTTACCTATGGAATAAATCATCTTTGACTTTTGACTTTTGACTATTGTAGATATTTGCGTATTGTTAATTGCTGTTTCGCAATTAACAATTAATCAATTGTCAATCTTTAATTGCCAGAACAATTAAATTTTGCCCAACACTGGTCGTCTCATGTACCTTTCAATTTATTATGCGAATGTCTGCGCATCCGTACCAGGGTGCGCGACTTGCTCGTCCCGTCACTTGATATTATAAAACTTATAAATATATATAAACTGCGCTACTACGTTTGTACTGAGTTACCATGGCAAGGACTCGAGTATGATTTCTAGTGCTTTAAATCATACTCAAGTCCTGTGTTGAGTATGATTTCAAGCACTGGAAATACGACTCTAATGGCAAGGACTTAAGTATGATTTCTAGAGCTTTTAATCGTACTCAAGTCCTGACTTGAGCATTGAGTAGAGTTCTGGAATACAACCCTTAGCGGTTATAGCTTACATTGGGCGGGCACGCGAGGTATGTAGGTATAGTTGTGGCGTCCATTTAGATATAATGTCTGTGAAATTACACATTCTCTTTGAATTTTTGCTATTCTATTCTAGGAAATAATAATAAATCTGCTATTCTAGGAGATAATGCCTGCGTAAAATAATTTACTTCATAAACATCAGGCTAACATGATGTATTTTATCTTTTGTAAAGTAAAAGATTATGTGTCGTTTTCCAGAACTCTACTCAATGCTCAAGTCAGGACTTGAGTAGGATTTCAAGCACTGGAAATACGACCCTAATGGCAAGGACTTGAGTATGATTGAGTTGAGCCATAGTGTAAAGAGTTGTTGCAACTCACTGTTAGAGAGAGACAGGTACATAAAGAACGGTGACAGGACAACAGCAGAAAGTCATAACTTGTGATAAAATTGATTTTTATCCATTGTTTTGCCGAATGAATTCTGAAATTATCGAATCTATTAACACAACCATGTTTCTATGAGCTTATTTTCTAGTAACAAAGTTGGCTATTTGAAAATTTCCATAGGCGTTAATTGCTGAAATTTGGGTGGGTGATAAACACGGTCGTTGTATGATCCACTCTTAAGCAGACTTAAATAGATTTTGTTGCTCTTATGTGATTATATTTCGTTATAGTGGTTGAAGCTAAGTACGATGAAGTTAACTTGGCAGTGTTTGTTCTCGCCGCGTTTATACAAGATTTACAAGGATGGCCCTAGTGAGGTTAGTAGTTTGGTTTAAAAATCAATCCATATCCACCATTTAGACGAGAACGTAGACTTTTATCAAACCACACGTAATGGTGACTGTAGGTATAATAATGAACACAACACAAATATTGTGGATTCTTAGATTTTCACAATTGCTATTCATTAGAAAAGAAACTACTTTATCCAATCCATATCTGGTTTTCGACGACAAACCAACGTTTCGGGCCCTTTACAGGTCTCAAGGCCATGGCTGACGAACATTTCGGGTCCTTTACAGGTCCCATGGCCATCGCTGAACTCGAATGACTGTCCATGAGCCCTGTAAAATGCTATAGATTCTCCAGATTTTCACATCTTACAGGTCCCATGGCCATCGCTGAACTCGAATGACTGTCCATGAGCCCTGTAAAATGCTATAGATTCTCCAGATTTTCACATCTTACAAAATATTTTCTTTTCCTATTGTTTTATGGATAATGAGTATGGGAGCCTGGTAGATATCGTGTAAGTGTGTTGTGCACGTGAATCTCTCTATCTCACACACACAGCAAAAAGTGGAGCGTGAACACAGTCTACAAAGTTTCTAAATATTTCCTGTCACAACTTCAAAATCTGCTACACAATCTTATGTTGATAAATTAATGTTAAGGGCAGCTGTTGCTTGGCTCTACACTCTTATAGCTAACTTCCACAATGACAACAGCGTTGGAAGCTTGTAATTAATATCTTTAGGAATAAGGTAAATATTTCTTTGTAATTTCAGAGTATGTACCAGGCGAAGGGCTTCGAGAAATGGGGAGATAGAGTCATCTCTTCAGTAAGTAACAAAGCAAATTATTATTATTGTGTATTATGAATTAAGTAGGTAGTAGAACTTTTAAGGTGGTGCCATCATTAATGCCATCTTAACAGTTCTTTCAGCATGCAGGCAACAGCGGGCAATATCAGCCACACAGAGCAGGCATGTTCTTGTCAACTAATGATGTTTAAGGGTTATATCATATTGTATTATAATCAAAAGACATTAAAAAAACAGTCAACAAAATTTTGTACTGTACATTAAAACTATTTTGGACAGTGAGGGCTTCAACATTATAGATAGTACATCCCAACTAGCAAATTAACCTTATAATGTTAGGGCTTTATGGCTAGAAATTTTGTACTTGTTTTATAAAAGCATTCATTATCACAATGTACCTTATAATAGTTATTTATAAGAGGTTTTAGCTTACACAGCTTTTATTCTTGTAATTTGGCTGTATAAACGTTATTAAACCCAAATAATATGACTACAATACAGCCTCAGAATGTGTTCTTCTTATAAAGGTTAATGTTATTGCTTAATTGCCATATAATATTTGAAGCTATATATTAGGGGTTAAAGTATGAAATTGCCGTTTTATTGCAATAGGTTCTTTGAATTTTCATAGAATCTTCATGGTTTGAGGTTTTCGAATGAAACTTTTTTCAAATGGTTTCTGTGATTTTTTTTTTTTTTAATTTGAAACATTTGAATATCGACTTTCAATTGTTTTTGTTATTCAATTTAGACAAGAAAGATGGATACTGCGAAAATTCGAGTGATTTTTGAATACGAGTTCCGACGCGGAACTAACGCGGCAGAAACAGCCCGCAATATCAATGCTGCGTTTGGAGAGGGGTCTACTAATGAACGCACCGTGCGATTTTGGTTTAAACGCTTTCGTGATGGAAATTTCGACTTAAAGAACGAGCCACGAGGAAGACCGCCCACACAGGTGAATAACGATGAATTAAGAGAGATAGTGGAAGCCGATCCTAGTCAAACTACCCAGGAATTAGCGACATGGCTTAACGTTACCTTACCCACAATATTGACTCACTTGCGTCAAATCAATAAAATAAAAAAATACGAAAAATGGGTGCCTCATGATTTGACTGATCTGCAGAAAGAAACGCGTGTTGAAACTTGTGTTGCCTTGTTGAACCGGTACAGAAATGAAGGAATATTGGATCGAATTGTAACATGTGATGAAAAGTGGATTCTTTATGATAACCGGAAAAGAAAAATGCAATGGCTGACCCCAGGTCAAATGCCACAACAGTGTCCTAAAGCAAAACTTACCAATAAAAAGGTAATGGTAACTGTTTGGTGGTCTCAGCATGGTGGTCTCAGCATGGTGTTATTCACTATAGTTTTCTCCGATCTGGTCAAGCAATAACGGCAGATGTTTATTGTGCCGAACTCCGAACCATGTTGACAAAACTAGCAGTAAAACAGCCCCGACTCATGAATCGATCTTCACCATTATTGCTCCACGACAACGCGAGACCTCACACAGCACGAGAAACCATTTTGACCCTTCAGGAACTGCAGTTAGAAACCATTCGTCATCCTCCGTATTCACCAGACCTTGCTCCAACGGACTACCATTTTTTTCGTGATTTGGACAATTATCTACGTGACAAGAAGTTTTCTTCCCAGGAGGCAGTACAAAATGCTTTCACACAGTTTGTGCAGTCTAGATCGTCGGAGTTCTATCGCAAAGGCATTAATAACCTTCCCATTAGATGGCAGCAATGTATAGATAATAATGGCAACTATTTTGATTAAATAAATTTGTTAAAAATTTAAAAAATAAACAATTTAGATTTTCAGTACAAATCGGCAATTTCATACTTTAACCCCTATTAAAGGTCTTCGTGAAGAGTAATTATTCTTATAATAGAGATGGACAAGGTAAAAATAAGATTATAAATCTTTTAAGAAACATTTACATAGTAAATAAATACTTGTTAGCTATACATATATATATGTTTTATAAGAATTTAAGCGATTCATTATCCCTAATGCAGTAATAAGAAGAGTATAATTCTTAAGAGTGTTATATAACTGTAATTTACATATCTAAGTCAGCCCATTGCAGTGCAATGCGTGGTTGGGATATCTACGCCTTTTCCTGTAAAAAAAACGGATTTGCAAGAATGGAAGAGATTTAAGAGAAGTGGCAGTTTTTGGAGAAAGGTTTCCACTTCGCCATACGCCACTTCTTCTGTGACGTTATCCACTAACCATTACCAACCATCACTAGCGAAGGAGTTGGTGGTTCTATACAAAATTATTTAAGCACGGTGTGTGGGGAAGAGAAAATTTATAGCGATAGTGATATAGATGAGTGTATTAATGATGAGGTGAGAAAGTATGACTTTAGTGACAATATCAAGAATTGGGCTGTAAAGTTCAATATTCCACATTTAGCATTAAATGAATTACCAAAAGTAATAAACAATGCAATCCCACACACTTCACCATTGGATGCGCGTACATTGTTCAAAACCAACAAAGAAAAAATAAGCATATTGAAATGGGACCATACATTACTGGCAAAATGGATTAATTTTTCTCAATTACAGAAAACTTAATATACATTTGGTTTTACTTGATTATTAATAAGGAACCCAAAGGCCAAAATAATAATCAATATGGCGATAACATAGCAATAACAATAACCACACGCAAAATAGGCGCTTTGTCGTCGAGTTGCGGATACCAACCCGTTGCACCAAGTACCAAGTACCAACATAGCAACAAGTATTACTTTTATAAAGATATCACCCTTATAGACATTGTGTAATTTACTTTTGTTCTTGTAGGAGCAGTATTAAAAACATAAAATAATTAAACACTTTTTAGACACAAAACATGGTAAGGGGAAATTATATACTTAGGAACCAATAGGTCTTTTTGTCCCTAAAACAGTTACCCTATGTCGTTTTTGGTTTTGAATTTCCCCATACTATCCCAGTTACCCAGAAAGAAGTTAAAAAAAAAATCGCACAATTTTTAACGTTCCCAATTTTGTCTCATTCCTAAACAACACAATTTTATTGACTTCTCGTAGAAAAAGGCAGCTGAATTTCGTTTTTTTGGCGATATCATTTCATAGAATAATAATAATCAGTGATCGGAATAAATAAATACATACAAAGAGTGACATACAGTGGTAAAAACCACCAAATATTAATTAATTACTTTTTTTGAATTCCGGATTGCCGGAAATAATTTTACTGCATTGTAGGACAAAACTGTAGACCTAAAATAGGAAGCTGAACTTGGATTTTCAAGTAATTCTAGTGATAACATGTAAAAAATGCAATTGATAACTAACCTTTCACCAAAGTAAACATTTTCTTAATAAGCTACAAGCAATAGCTTGTTTTATCTAATATGGATATTGTAGATACTTTTATATCCATTCAACTGCCACCACAGCAAACAGTTACCATGCTGGACTGCTTTAGCAGAGGTCCGAGGTTCGATTCTCGGATCGGGAGAAGTATTTGTGTGGCTTACATTTATTTCTCTCGAGAGTTTGGGTGTAATTTGTATTTGTCTATGTGTGTGTTCATGGCACCCGCGATACAAAGTTTCCCTAGTATGAGTATAATAAATAGTTTGAAAACAAACATATTCATGTTGTGTCCCTTTGCACCAATATAGAAGAACTATTCAGTTCTTCTATATTGGTGCAAAGGGACAGATGGGACGTGATTAAACTATTTGTGCATTTGCGAAGATGAATACGTTTTGGCACCTGACAACATCCTAACATTAATAATAATAGAAAAATACATGCAACATTGCTTAGATGCCAGTGCAACAATTCATTGTAGTTTAATTGATTGAACTATACAGTAAAGCCCAAGGAATGATTATCTATGTCCTCTTACTCTAAAACTAATTTTGTGTCTTTATGTACTACATGCTATAATATCGTCATCTGTCACTCCAGGCAAGTACAATCCTGAACATCGGACTCTACACATCACCTTTCATATGCATGTACATATACAAACGAGGATTTTTTTCCATCGATGAGTGTAAAGGTTTAGCAAGATTCTTTGGAGGAGTTGGATGCATTTTGGCCATATCGTTTATAATGAGAGGCCTTGGGCGAGCGTCAAATCCTAAATATGTTGCATTTATGAAAGCATTGACAAATACAACAGCAGATCACACCACCTATTTATCTAATATAAGGAATTATGACTTCGAATTTAGAGCTTGGCCTGTCACTTACGCTGTTCCTCCTAAATTAAAGTAAGTTCGAGTATTATATTTAAGATATATTTGTTAACTATTTTAATTGCTTATTATTTAAATCTCCACTTTACTCCTCTTTACCGACTTCAAAAAAGGAGGAGGCTCTCAATTCGCCTTTTTTTTTGTATGTATGTAACGCGCTAACATCTGTGAACTGATTTTGATGATTCTTTTTGTTGGAATGAGGGTGCCTCAGTAATAGTCCCATTTAAATTAAATAAAATTTCACGTCTAAGGGTGGCAAACTAAGGGATGAATGACTTGAGGTCGGTTTCTTTAGTACTCTGTACAGAGATTATCTACAACAGTATTGTGACTATAAGTGTAATTATGCTGTATATTTAAAGTCCAAAATCTACTTGACACTACTGCAAAATTTTAATTTCAAAATTGTAAGTTTGAAGAACCAATGGTTTTCAGATCATCGTGGCTGCAAGGCCACCCTTTCAACAACTGCGCGAATGTCGAACTGCCAATGTACCAACGCACTTTTATTCAAGTGTTGGCATACGTCGCCACACACACCTTCGCTCTGCGACTCATTTACCCTGGATCGTTAGGACTCATCCACACCTTGTTTTGTACGTAACAATGTTTGCAATGTTCAACACTTCAGTAAAGTAGCAAATTTTTGTTTCTGTTAATAGGACGTTCATGTGGAATAATTTAAGCAATTTTATAATAAACCCATTGTGTCTAGGGGATGCATTGTTTCAAGGAAGAGCTCATCTGGTGGAATCATATGACGGGAAGCGTTCAAAACTGAAGACTGCCGAGGGCAACTTTTTAGATACCATGTTCATAGACAATAGAAAATTATCCACCAAGGGAAATACACTGGTGGTTTGTTGTGAGGGGAACTCCGGCTTTTATGAAATAGGAATAATGACTACACCAGTAAAAGCTGGCTATTCAGCTTTGGGTTGGAACCACCCCGGTTTTGCTGGAAGCACTGTAAGTATATCATTAATATATCAACAAAAATATTTGTAGCTGCCTTTTGTTTCATTCTTCCATCGTGTTTAGATTTTGTTTTTAAAGATTTTCTGACTTGTGGCTTTATACAAAGACGTGTCTGTATATGGTCTGTACAGGGTCTTCCATACCCGGAGCAAGAGAAAAACGCAATAGACGCGGTGATGCAGTTTGCTATTAACGAACTGAAGTTCGAGCCTGAGGACATCATCATGTTCGGCTGGAGCATCGGAGGGTACACCGCCGCATGGGCCGCTGTCAACTACCCTGTGAAAGCCCTGGTAAGCATTGTTACTACTTAATACCACGAGTCTAGAATATACAGGTCATGCCACGGCTATCGGACATGGAGAAAAAGTCCTTTAAACATTATAGATTTTTTGTTTGAATGTTATTTTATTTTTTTAAAGTAAGTGATATTGCATTGAAATACTTAAAAATCTGCTTACCTCATCTAGGAATCGGCAAAATGTGAAAAAAAATCCTGTATTTTATGATGCCGATCGAAAGGGTCAATTTTAAAGTTTAATTCCTCCTAAGTAACATAGTATATAGTACCTTAATTTGATGAAGCATTGTAGCCTACAATATTTAAAGTACTCTCCTTCCGTGACCCATATGACATGAGCCTGTAATATGAATTCTTCTGCTCTGACGAAATAGCTTTTCTTTTTCTGGTTATTGTTTTAAAATTTGTTATTTGTTTAAATAGTGTGTGAAGTTTAATGCGAATTATCAAATTTATTAGCAGCGTTTTTATTCTTTTTTATGACATCAAGTGAGAAACGAATAAGTCGTGCGTCTGGTGTTAAGCGTCACGCCTGTCCATAACAGTTGCAGTGCCACTCAGAGCTTTAAATCACAAAGATCTTAGGGGCTCAGCCACTACGCCCTTCACCCTGATACAAGTTGTCAAGTCCCATGTGCCTATAATTTCACCGGCACCATTACCTTTCAAAAGCACGGAACAGAACACATTAATGCTGACGTTTGTGGTTGGCGGCAGAAATAGTTGGCAATACACCTTCGACGAACTCTTTGACAAGGAGTTCTACTGCTACTAAAATATTATAAATATTGAATTTAAAGAAAAACGAAGAGAAAATCAAGTGTTAGATTAAAACAAAATAGGTAATGGCCCTTTTCACCTACTAAACTGCACTTTAGTGTTGAAATTGATGTCAAGTTTCAAAGTAAAATATTCCGCAAATATGAATATACCAATATTTTGACGACAGGTGTTGGACGCGACGTTCGACGATCTGCTACCGCTGGCGGAGAATCAGATGCCGTCTTCTTGGTCGCTGCTGGTTAAGGAGGTGGTGCGTTCGTACGTGGACCTGAACGTGGCGGAGCTTCTGTCGGAATATGAAGGACCCATACAACTCGTGCGTAGGACTGAGGATGAGATAATCTGTATCAGGTGAGAAACTGAAGACCGAATATCTTTTACTTAAAAGTATTTTTTATTACTGAAAACTACTGTAAATGTAAAATATATGCATTTAAAATGTTTTTTAACTTTATTTATTTATGGTAACTGATAGCTAGCTGAGTAACAAAATAGATTTCTCACAGATAGCACTACGACAAAAAAGTCGTTAAGAACCAAAAACAAAGATCTGCACGTCGACAAATTCGCAAGATTCGTTGTTTCTTTCTGTGGATTAGCTGGCATAGCGTCTAGCACGGTTTCCTAGAAGATGCTGGTTCGAATCCAACAAGATCGAAGAATTTTTTTCTAAGTGTTCGGTCTTTGTATACATAATCCTATTTTCGGATAATTTCTGGCAGCGCCGGCGCTAGCTAATTCCTTGAATCGCCGTCACTGCAAACTGGAAAAAGCTGTAGTTGTTTTTGAGTTATGAAATAATTTATATTATTTCAATAGCACCAAGTGCACTATTGTATAATAGAATACATACAACGCTGTGTAGTCGCATTTTCTCTGCTTTCATGCAGCAATAGTCTCGCGCGATTGACCTGTCTCGATGGCTAAACAACAGGAGGTCTACCACGATATAATAGATAAATACTATACTACGTGACTGCGTCCGCAACGAAGCTCATGCGTACTGCACAAATGTCAGTTTTACGATGAAAGTAAAGTCAAAATTTGATACGATAGCTGTTATTTGACGTTTCGGAGTAAGGTGTGGCATGTATTTAAATGATCATTTTAAATTTGCAAAAGCAGCGCAGCGGGCAAAAAAATCTAACGGCCATGTTTTTTAATGATTGATCCTCTTTCTCTGAGACATAAAATAAATTAAATCAGTCGATATTTTAATCTGTTCTGAGCCACGCAAAAAATGTTAGATTTGTATTATATTAACTTTGATAGTTCTATGTTGCGCCTCAAAACTAGGACAAATGAGCATTAAAAATAAAATTCAGGTACCTATTTTTAAAACTAAGTAAATGTTAAGGTATTATCACTAGTATCAGGTTTCTTACCACGGTATGACTTCTTTTTATTTTCCCGATATTTCGGAACGGTTGCAGGCTCCAGGGTCACGGGTTGACTCAACCCGTCGAACCTGATACTAGTGATAATCATTTAGTGAATAACCACGAAAGTGTTAAAACCTATATAAGTAAATGTTGATTACATTTGAATACTAATATTATATTAATTATAATAAAGTATTCGTGTACAACATGTTCGGAAACGCAAGCAAATTGGCTTCTGGCTACTTTTTCACATAATAACTTAACCTACTTAATGGAGGGCGCAACCAATTTCTATTAGGAGATCAATATTAAAAGATAGACTGGTAATAAATGTCAGTTATCATTATAAATGCATCAATCATTAAAAGAAATGGCCAATAATAAAAAAGGGGATCAAAGATTATTTTTGAATACCAAGTATTAATTTAATATGCTTAAATATAATGATAGTGTTACCTTGAATGTAGTACATTTATAATTTATCCGTAGATCGACTAATATAGACGGAACAATTAATAGACATATAATGCACTTTTTTATATAAACGATATTTTTTTATGTTTGATATGTAGACGTGCACGATAGGACCATCTTTTTTGTACTATTTTTATTACATAGTCTATTAAAATATTGAAGTATGATGTTCAACCGTCTTTTTTCTTCTGGAGAAAAAAAAACGGTTGAACAAAGACAATGTAATTTAAAATAATACAAAAAGAATGGTGCTGTCGCCCACATTTTCTATCAAACATAAAAAAAATCTAGTTTATTTTAAAAAGTGCACATTTACAATAGACATCTTTGAAGATCAAATAATATTATCCCGTAACGTATCCACAAATGCTTATGTCAAATCACTATCTTCGATCCTATTGCACGTTATACACACAATAATTTCGAATTTTATATTTACGTATTTACTTTCGTATTTTGAAACTTATGAATTGCTTTTTTATCCGTTATATATAATTATGATTAAAATATTCCAGACCGGGGTTGCTATCATCAAACCGCGGTAACCATTTGCTCCTGCGGCTTCTCGAAGTGCGGCATCCCGAAGCGTTAACCGCGTCCAACGATAGCGTAGTCGCTGTCAACAGATACATCGGGCTGCTGGAGTCGCAACGCGCTGCATTGGCTCGCAGCGATATTTCAAACACCGATCGGACCTCCTTGCTACTGGTAAATTGATCTATCTCCTTTTAGACCATAAGTTCCCAAACTTTTTGGATCACCGCGCACTTAGGTAAGATAAAAAAATTGCAACGTCCACCACCACAAAAAATTATTGAAAACATGTGTTTTTTTTTTTTAAATTAACACGTATGTGGTGTAGTTTATATAGATTTTTTTTTTTTTCAAATGCGGTAGTTTCCCAGGCCTCTACCGCCCCACTAGGGGGCGGTAAGGACGTTGAGAAACTATGTTTTAGACAGACTAAGGACAGGAGAAGATAGAAGGTCTACTACCAGAATTTCGCGACGAAAATCTCATCTAGTTTTATCATTACGATTATACAATACAATTGATATTAGAGCCTATGCATATGGCGCCGCGTGACTACGCGTCGTCTGCGCCAAAAAAACGCCATTTAAAAAAATAGTATCGCTTATGACTCGTGTCAGAAGTAGTCCCAACGGCATCCCGAACATGATTACAGGCAGGGTTGATTGTTCAATTCTAACTATGTGTCCTCCTGTTTTTATGTATATTAAATAAATAGTTTTTATAGTGCTATGATGTATAAATACTAGTCTACTTTAAGCGAAAATGTTTCTAGAATTTATGTGAGTCTATGCCTGAATAAAGAATTTCTTAGAATTCTATATAATAAAGAATTCATAGGCTTTTTGTATATTTTGCATCTTCAATAATAAAGTGACCAATTTCAAAAAGTAAATTTTGCGAAAATGAAAATGTAAATAAAGTGAAGAAAAATATTCATATTTATCATTCATATTTTTTAACTGACTTCAAAAAAAGGAGGAGGTTATCAATTAGACTGTTTTTTTTTATGAATGTTACGAGATAACTCCTGCGGCATTTGGGTACCGATTTTGATGATTTATTTTTTGTTGGAAAGAGGGTACCTCAGTATTGGTCCTATTTAAATTTCAATAAAATATTCCACCGCTAAGGGTAGCAAACTAGGGGATGAATGACCGTTGAGGTCGGTTTTTTAGTATTCTGTATTGGGATTTTTGTAACTTTTCAGATTTCAAAGTACATGCGGGACTACAAGTCGACGCACTGCACGCCACTGCCTGAAAATGTATTCGACTCGATCGTGCATAACATCACCAACAATAGAAATTAAAGTCGGTATACAAGGTTTTACTCCCAATGTGAATTGTAATGATTTTACAGAGTTAAAATTTGTATTAACCGCGTGAAATGTTAGTTTTACAAATTCTACAGCGCGCCAATGATCACAAGGAGACATAAACTTTCATTACTTTTTTGCTAAGTTAGCAAAAAAGCAATTGGAAGGCTCCATTACTCCGACACACATATTTGGGACTCCAACATAAGGTACTTAAACGATCAACTCAAGGTCGACTTTGACCTCGACTGAACTTTCTTGTGCAACAAAGACCCGTACACCGTATATAAACATACTTGATTTAAACTTAAGAAAGGTACTGGGTCAAGAGCGCGTCAAGCTTGACGCTTAAGTTTTAAATCCAACTCTGTGCCGCTTACAATAAGGACCGTTCAAAGTACAAAATGTCAAGCTTGACGGGCTCTTGGCTGTGCCTCGTTTTCTAAAACTTACCCAAATAATGTATGTCTGAGACCGTGATCAGGCCCTGTACTCTCGTTCGCCGTCCGACGCCGACGTCCGTCCGAAACAAATTACTATGAAATAAGTAACACTGGACGAAAAGACGATGTCAAATATGAAGCTTCATTTGCTTCATTGCATCTTTTTAACCGACTTTAAAAAGGAGGAAGTTCTCAATTCGTCTGTATGTTTTTTTTTGTACGTACGTTACGCGATAACTCCGCCTTTTGTAAACCGATATTGATGATTCTTTTTTGTTGGAAAGAGGGTACCTCAGAAGTGGTCCCATTTTAATTTGAAGAAAATATTCCACCTCTGATTGTGGTAAACTAGTGGATGAATGACTTTTGAGGTCGGTTTTTTTAGCCGGAAGTTAGGTTATAATTTGGTCAAGTATTATTTAAATTTTTATTGAATTGATATTCAATTTTTTTATGTGAAAATGCTTCACTAGTTTGTTATAATTATTAATACAAAGATCGAACACTTAGAAAGAATTCCTTCGACCCAGCCGTTAAAAAAAGTCGTTGAAAAACCAAATACAAAGATACGACAACAAGTACATGGAGAAATTCGTGAGGTCCGCTGGTTCGTTCGTTAGTAACACGATTTGCTAGAAGACGTCGGTTCGAGTCCGGCCGGATCGAAGGAATTTTTTCTAAGTGTACGATATTTGTATTAATAATTATAATAAACGAGTCTTACTTATTTGACAGTATTTGATGGACGGAGAACGAGAGTAGTAGTAGAGTAGAGAGTTCCATCAAATTTCAAAGTGTTGTCTGTGTGCAAACTTTCTTAAGACGAGGCTCCACAAGGGAAACCTCACACTGGAAGAACTTAACATACTAGTCAGACCTGAGTTATTCATGCGCTCTGTGCGATTGCAGCAGGCTGTACTTGTTTTAATCAAAGAAAACACACATTTCACTAAAACACATTTTGATTGTAATTTCGTGTATTGTATCGACTAGCTCACGTAATTCTACAGGTATAAAAACTGTTGCATTTTTGTAAAATACGATATTTATACGTGGTGAGAAGCGAAAGTAGTATTGGTGTTACTTAATAGTACGTTGTGTATTAAGGGCGCTAAATAAGAAATTACTAACGAGGGTTTGTTAGGAAGGCTGAGGGCTTTAATGAGTCGAGGATTGTAACGTTACATACAATGTATTTCATCACATTTGCGAGGAAATAGATACAACGATAATTTATTTCTTGTATGAATAGATATCGCTTCACAACGTAACATTTACGGATTTGCAAATGCTGAGCTTTTTGTTTCTTTTTTTAAAGATTGCCAGCTGTTCTTCCATAGATTATTATCTACTCGTAAAATGTTATAAAAGGCACAGACGCAAGCTGCCACAATGTATTAGATATAAAATCAATTATTTCCAAATTCTAAAAATACTGCAGAATTCACAAAATATTAGTAAAATATAGTTAAATTCCAAATGTTTAGTTTTTTTTTATACTTTAAGTTTATGCGAAATATACGTTTAGACTTTTCGAGCAAAAAACGTTTTGCTTAATTATGACGTAAAAAATCCATAGGGCGGCAATATAATCAAAAATACCGTGTGCATAATTTAAGGCTTTGCATATCATGACACTGTTTACGGGCAAGTGTGATGAAAAAAGTATTTAGGTATATTATGGTCGTATTATTGTCTATTATAATAATGGCTCCTGTACACCTAAGGCCTGGCGCCCATTGACGAGATGGCTGGCAGGGGAACCTTCGGCATTCCTACATGCAAGGGCACTCGTCGGAGTGCGTTTGCATTATACCGCAGTATCCCTAGGTATGGCACGGCATTCTTAAGCATGTCGAAGTATTCCGTCGCGAAATCGTGCTCGCGCCTGGGGCCTGATTCTCATATTTTTTTATTTATGTCTATTTTTACTTTTTTCGATTGACATGAAAGTCTAATGAAAAATATCGATTGATTTCAAAATATCAATTCTCGCACGCTGTCCGGAAATATCTATATGTTTTTTAGTGAATCATGTTGCAAGTGGTATAACGTCGCGATGTGTTCGCAGCACGAGCTCCTTCTTCCACTACTTGGCTTACAAAAGCCACTATTAACTCATCCATTATTCAGTAGGTACAGAACCCTCTACGTTATCTATACATATTATACACTTATTACACAATATAATCACAAACGTAATCTACTTACAACGCCTAATAATATTTTATTTTACTGTTCAATTTCAAATACTGGGTATCAACAAAATTAAATAAAATTTACGTAAATCATAAACGATGTAATTTGCACTGAACGCAAGAAACCACAAATGAATCTGTCAAAATAAAATTCTAGTGATAAGTCGAATGTGAAATTGCCGTGTAAAAAATGATAGACAAAAGTCTATCGAGAAGTCAAGAGAGCCCGTATTCTCTCTCATATGAACATATTGTCGATTTTTGGACATTGTCTACGTCGATTTTTATGTGTATCACGCGAGAATCAGGCACCTGGACTTCATTAAGACCAGTCTTACCGTGCGTGCCTTCCCTCGAAAATTCGGCGGCAGTGTGAACGATATAGGTAACAACGAGCAATAATGTTGAACAATTGGCCATCGCAAAGCTCTAACAAGAGGTCGACGTCGTCTACATTCATCGTTTTTGATAACAGTTATAGTCGACGAAATATTATTTGTGATATCAAATGTGAACGAAACCAAGGCTAAAAAAACAATATTATATAATACAAAAAAGCTATTAATATTGTTTTGGTAAAGATATTTGTAATCATAAATAGGGTTACCAGCTTGTTATATCCAGGCCATTTTGTTACACCCTACAAATTAAGTAATCTTACTATAGTATATAGTTATTACACGTAGACAGCTATTTAGCCACAATTACAAGATATGTTTTCAAGAGGATTCGTCCCAATCTGAGCAGCAGGCTATTAGGCTTTCCGTATTTAATTCATTGTCTTTTGTTTATGTATAAAAAATATATTATTTTTATAAAATTTGCAATGACGGAAAACTGACATACACCCACAGCAATAGCCTCTTGAGGACTGTTCAACAATGTATGACGTATGTATGTACGCCATCTTGTGTTTAGCTTTTCGAGTTACTCACAAACTTGGAGCCACTTCATGTATGTAATTGTATTATTATGTGTACACGTTATTATACAATTAAAGTCAGTACTTATTGATTATAGCGTATAAAATAATTATAACAATTTATACAATATTTATTAATGTATAACTAGATAGGTATCTAATAAACAAGGCACCAAAGAGGATGCTTGTTGTACTTGGAAGGAGCCCCATACACCGAAATAGCCACGACGCTATGCGGTATCAATGTCACCACGCGCGGTTGTCATTGTGCTTTGGTTTGGTTAATTTAGAATCGCACCGCGCTCTGTGTGTGGGGCTTGTTAAACTACTGTAAGTTAGTTTGAAATAATGTTCACATGCATCGGGGAAACAATGCTTTCATTAAGATACATTTATATATTATTCATTAAACAGCCGGCACAAGAATGTGATGCGACGTCGTTTCTGCGCTTCATAATCCGTCGTCGCGTCGTCAGCAAGTCGAGTCAATGCAGACGAACGTGTGGACGGCTGTGCCGTGATCTAGTGCCAAGAATGTGTGTACCGTGGCGTTTTCTAACTCCGAACTAATAATATATAATAATATCTCAATAACGCAAACTTCGGACAAAAGCACAAAACAACGTCGCTGATCAAAGCTTGTCCAATAAAAAGTGACTGTACATCAATGTATTATTGTAGCATTTAATATTTGTTAAATAATCAAATTATTGTGTACCTTAGGTATTTTTTTCTTACATATTTATGGTAAATAAGGGGATTTTGGTGTAATGTGTTTATTTTTTATTTTGATATTCCCATTCCTCTTCGTCTTGTCTATGATTTTTGCCCAGCAGAACTTACTAGACCTGTACTGTGAGTGCCCTTTAAGCTTTTACAGAACCAAATACAACCCTAACTCCGATACATGTAAATCGGATTAAGATAAAATTTTCTCACAGCAAATGTTGATATGTCAACGTCGGCAAAACAATGTTGTTTCTGTACACAGTCGCATGAAAATATACTTCATCATTAATTATGTTATATGGATCAGAAGGAAGCCTTGTTACATAACCCTATAAACGGATATAGAAAAAGGAGATTGGTCATGTCAGCGATACAGATTATATCGATAATATTTCAAAAAAAAACACAAAGATATGTTTAATAAAAATAATATAATCGCCCAATATTTAATAAAATCGCCCAGTAACTAATTTCGAGTTTATTAACCATAAAAGTTGTACTGGGAGCAGAATCTACTATAAAACATTGAAACAAGTAGTAGTTTCATAAATTACAATAACGTAAAAAAGTCCTGATTATCTTGGCTTAAGGATTCATAATTGCATTTTGTATGAATCAATCATTCAAATTAGAATAGTAACTGTATTACAAACACACAACAGTGGTTGTCGAGTGTTATAACTCCTTATTCTAATATACCAAAAATTTGTCCTATTACCAATGCCTATTACTGAACAACGGCAATTTATGCACTTTTATTAAATTCCAGACACTTCAAAAATATGATATATAAAAGGATCATTTACTATATTAATTTGCATGTATTAGTTTGTGAAATGGGTTTGTAAGCTTTTTTCTTCCTTCCGTATTCAAATTTCCAAAAATTGCTGGAGTCTGTTAATTAGCATGTTGCCTATCATTTCTTGCTACATACTTTCTATTGCTTCTTTTATGATTATCAAGTGATAGGACGCACAGTTGTACATCTGATGGTACGCATAGCACCTACCCATAACAGTTGCACCATGACTCAGAACTTTTTGTCATTCTTGGGACATAAAGTTGATTGGTGAACTTTAGATACAGGGTCAAGAGCACGTCAAGCTTGACACTTAAGATTTAAATTCAACTCTATGCCGCTGACGATAAGAACGGTCCAAAGTGTTAAGCTTGACGTGCTTTTGACTGTACCTATAAAACATCTGAATATCTGATTGATGCGTGTAGGATACCTATTAGCCTGCTAACAGATTGATCGCATCTGCGTGAATTCGTAATCAAATTCATGCAGTCGAGACCACGACTGGTTGAAGTTGACAACAACTCCATATAGTAACTGCATGCAGTTAATGCGTGACGTCGTTATCGGAGACCTCGACTGCATGAAATTGATGCGTGAAGTCGTTATCAACTTCATGCAGTCGTGGTCTTGGCGTGATCACGACTAAACACATTAACTGCAAACATGTAGTCTTATCTGTTAGCAGCCCAAGACAAACAATTTTTTTAAAGTAAATACATATTTTCATTATAATAAAAAATAATAACAATTTGTTTTATAAAGGTTTTTAATAACTCATGGTTACAGTACAGTAGCAACTTCAAAAATACCCGCCATACCATCAGTGGTGCTCTTAGTGGTATAATGGGTCCAGCCCGAAGTTGACTAGTCCCATGTTCCTTTGATTTCACCAGAACCCTTATCAAAACTGGAACGCAGTAATGATTACGTAACTACATGATGGCAGTATTTCCTTAGACAAACACACTTTATAAGGAGCTCTGCTACTACTAAAACTTCTGCTGATATTATTGCATGGTTGCAATGAAGTTTTTATTGAATTTTAAGGAGGTATAATCATACAAACAATACAAATGCGTTTAAATGGACTTATTTGTATTTTGCAACTTCATAGTCAAGTTTATTTTCAATTTCTGAGACATTATTACATGTGTACATATCAGACTTATTTCTTAACATTCAAAGAATTTATTCTAACTTTTTAAACTTTAAACATTTATTTCTGTATATACGCTCTGACAATTCGAACATCATCAACAGGTGTGTCATTCTTGTCACACTCAACAAGCCCTATTCGTTTGACAACAGCCATTCCAGTCTGTATGCGACCAAATATAGAGTGTTTCCCATCCAACCATTGCGTAGGTGCCAGAGTGATGAAGAATTGTGATCCATTTGTGTCGGGTCCAGCGTTAGCCATAGATAATACACCAGCACCAGTGTGTTTCAAGTCTGGTGATATCTCGTCTTCGAATGTAGGCCCATATATTGACTGGCCACCTTTCCCCGTGCCTGTGGGGTCGCCCCCTTGAATCATGAAGTCCCGAATGATCCTATGAAACTTTGTGTTGTTGTAGTATCCTCGCCGGACAAGCTCCATAAAGTTTCTGCAGGTGTTTGGAGCGTGCCTCCAATACATTTCAACCGTCACCGTGCCCATGCTGCGAACAAAGCGCAATAGTGTTATGCACATCGAGTAAATCTTGGTGTTTAAAAAAAATTCTAATGTGGTCTCATAACTTACGATGTTTCAAGCACCGCGATCGGTGGTTGCCAGGACTTATCAGGAATTCCGGCATTAGAATATCCAAGCATTTTATTAACTTTGTATACTATAAACAAACAATATAATTTATAACCTCAAAAAATCACCGCCAATTTCTTTGCTTTTTAAAGTTTACAGCCTGGTTGCAGACCTTTATGCCAATTTTGTAAATTTTTGGAGTTCGTGCTTAAAAAATCGCAGCCAATGTTTTATCCGCCGATAGAAAGCACAATTTACCAATGATCTTTTAATTAGATGTGGTTTGTGACTTATATCAAGCAATCAATATCGTTTACTCTCGTTGTGTAACAAGTCACCTTATATCAATATCAAAGTCCTCTTACTCTTTGGTAACAAGCTATCGCTCCCGCATTCCATAGAGTAAGTTGATAGTATAGTGTCTGTGATCTTGATCGCATTCGTTACAATGTTGTATGTACACTGGCAACTTTGAGACAATGGAATTGATATCCTTATTATAAGCAACACCATCTTTCTAATTTGTGACAGAGATTAGAATAACAATATTTCTTTTTTTCCATCCTCTAAGGTATTTCTTTGACTATGTATTTCCATTATCGAAGTCGCCGCGTCAAGTCCTCCATGAAATAATGTCGTCTTGCCTTAGACTACTTTTCCATCCTCTAAGCGTCTTGCGCCATACAAACTTGCAAAAAAACTTGCTATGTCCAGTCCAGGCAAGGATTAGGGACGGGCGTTACAGATCGTATATAGTTATTGAATCTATATCAATATATAGATTTTGCCACAGTTAATGAATCTATATCAATATATAGATTTTGCCACAATTGGCTACATCGAATATGCGATATCGTGTATTTTAGAAACTATGTATCGATATTGCTCCGCATCGCGTATTTTATAGCGATGCCGAATCAAACCGAGCGATTACCGAGTGCATACCAACACGAAATCGTACATTTACTAAACTACTTGATACTTGGTGCAACGGGCTGGTATCCGCAACTCGACGACAAAGCGCCTATTTTGCGTGTAGTGGGTGCAGGGTCCTACTCGTGTCACCCAAGCTCCTCCAGGAATCTCAGCAGCCTCCTTGGTTTGCTGAAGATTTCGGGGAGCGACCTTTGCACTCCAAGGTACTTTGCCCTGTAGTTGGCCACGCCGGAGCACTGGAGTAGGATGTGCGCAGCCGTTTCCTCCCCCTCCATGCACGCTCTGCATAGAGGGCTGTCTGTGATACCTTAATTGAAAAGGTGTTTATTGTATGGACCATGACCCGTTAGGGCGGCAGTTAGAGTGCGAAGCTCTTGCCTTTTAAGTTTAATTAGTATTCGAGATAGACTGGCATTGAGCGTTGGGAGTGCTTCACTCGCCTGTCTACAAACCGTAAGGGTGGTCCATGTATTATTATGTGAAGATTTTGTACCTTTGTGTATAGTTGTTCTGGACCATTGGCAGGAGAGGGACACTATCGGTTCTGGTCCTACAGCGTCCGTCTCCGACCCTTTCCTGGCTAGTTCATCTGCTGCATCATTGCCACGTGAGCCGCTGTGTCCTTTAATCCACTGAAGAGTTACGTGGTTTTGTATACACCTCCATGAGTGCTTGATGGAATTTGTAAATGAGCCTTGATTTACCAAATTATATACCGATATTGCTTCGTATATATTCGCTGAGTGGATATCAATGCGAAACTGTTTTTTGTGCATCTTCGGAACTGTATACTGTGTGAAGAGAAGTTAATTTTTTTTGATGGAAGTTAGTAAGTAAGTTATTCTGGCGTAATGCATTTACATCCAATGATTGACGATACGATTTAATCAAACGGCAAGGTATCAGGGCGCACGCGGGCTATATCCAATAATATATAGTTTCGAAATCTGATTCCGAATATCAGTAACGGCAATGTACCAACGCAGCGCGCACGCCGGCTGCATCCATGAATATATAGTTTCAGAAAATATATAGTTTCGAAATCGATTTCGAATATCGATATATAGTTTCGATACGATATTCAGAAAAAGCTGTATTACCCATACCCACCGAGGATGGAATTAAGTTCATAAGTACATTTTAATTAACCGACTTCAAAAAAGTAGGAGGTTCTTAATTTGACTCTTTTTTTGTATTTATGTTACGCGATAACTCCGGTGAACCGATTTTGATGTGTTTTTTGTTGGAAAGAGGTACATCGATAATGGTCCCTTAGGAAATATTCACCTCTAATTTATGGTAGCAAACTAGGGGATGAATCCGGTTTCGCAGTTTCGCATGAATCAATTCTATTTATCGATTACTTAGGAAATATTCGAAATATTTATGGAGCCTACATAAATATGATTATGTAATGAAGATTATTCTAGTTGATTTCTCCGTTGTATAGGTTTGGGTACCTGTATAATGTAGTAAATTACATTGAAATAAATTATAAATAATGAAAATAAGTCCTAATTGTTTGTTATAAACTCTACTGCCTCCATATCCAAATGGCTACTATGCTAAACTGCAACGCAGAGGTCCCGGGTTCGAATCCCGGGACGGATGAAATATTTCTGTGGTCTACACTTATTTTTCTCGTGAGTTTGGGTGTAATCATACTCCATAATAAATAATTTCATTTGACACACTCACCCATAGTAATCGCTTGTAGCCCTTTTTAGTGTATTTGATGTTAATAATTTTATTTATTATACATATATTTAACATATAGCATTCACTATCATTTGAGATTTCGATATCATTAGAGACTATACGTAAATTAGTTTTTCAATGTTTTATTATTTATTATCATCATCGACACTGAACGTCGATAGTGTTCCTTCACTAGCTAATCCAAAGGAATCGATTCCCACTAAAAGAGTACCCGGGTCGTTTTCAGATAACCTCCAAAAATGTGTGCCTTTCAATAAGTTTTATGTTATTACATGAATGCTAAACATTATTTATTTAATATGATTGCTTGCTTACTTAGTCTATGTTACACATAAAAAGACTAATTTGCTATGTCACAGTAATAAATAAATATTAAAAAACTGGGCAATTTCACATCGCCCTAATTTTATGAAAAGAAGAAAAAATTAAACACTCGTGGAAATCGAGGATAAACTCTAATAACTTACACGTTGAATGCATACCGTAACTTTCCAATTTATTATAAACAAACATGTTTTCTTGGGAATACAAAATGTGTTTCAATTTTCCTTATCATTAGTGTCAATTCAACTAAAAGTCTCCTAATAACAAAATTTCATACCGCATCACTTTCACCCTTCGCACACGTGAGAAGGGGCTCCTGTCGGATTGGAGTATACACAGTGAAGTAACCTGTGCATCTCCGTTTTAGCATTAAATCGACTTAATTCCAATTTCAACGCTAGTGACTAAATCGTTCTCATTCATGTAAAGCAATCTATCTAAATAAGTATTAAGTAATAGTTTTATAAACTTTGTTGTACATCAATTAGACAAAGGGAATTTTAAAATCCATGCACCTTTATAACGGTCCCGTATATTTTACACACCTGACAATTAAAAATGTATCCAAATATAATTATTTTAGCTGTCATTCTTATCTACTTTTAAATCAAATAGTTACTTCAAGCCAAACATTTACTATAACAATTAGATGGTGATTGATAGTGGTTGTGATGACGGTGGTGACGATGGTGGTGGTGGTGATGATGACTGTGAGTGTTGTAGTGATTATGACGATGATTGTGATGATGATGTGAATGATAATGATGCTGATGATAATGGTGTTGATGATGGTGATGATGATATATTGATGTACAACAAAGTTTATATGACATTAACAAAATACTTATTTAGATTTATTTATTAATTACGTATAGATAGAAAGATGGTCTTACACGGATGAGAAACATTTTGATACAAGTAGTTATATTAAAATATTCGTTGCATGTTAAATGTTTTTTGTGAACGATAAAATGTGTGTTTCAGTAATAATTTCTTTTAATAATTTCATTACTGTGCTGTCTTTCTCATTTACGTTTATGAGAAAATCATTCGTGTTACTGCTATCTCATTCGTGCATTAGCATTCGTGTGACCTAAAATATCGTTTTTTGTTGTATTTAACTTAAATGTTTCCGTGATTTTATAATTATTGACATTGCTTGAACTTATTTGTACGTTTAACACCTTAAAACTAAAAGAAAATAGGGTTTTACAAAAATCATTCAAAAAGTGCCATTGAAATTCGGAAAGTGAAATTCACCCATTCTTTGCATGGACATGCTATGAATGTCTGTTTTATCAATATATATTTGTAAAAGTAAACGAGCGCGTACTGTTGTCGAATTTTGTTTATGTGAGACCATAGTGACACAACTCGTTATTGCATATGAGTGCACTTGTTTGCTGGTAGTATAAGCTGGTATCTCGAACTAGAATACCCGTATCGGACTGTTTTAAGGAATCCCCAGTCAATCCAAACACGCCGCCTCAAATTGCCTATCCTCTTTGTGGCGGCCATATTTACAGAAACATAATTAAACTTCATGTTTAGTCTTATGGCTTGCCAAAGCCTTAATAAATAAAAAAAAAATAACGGTTTGACATATAGAGTATAGATGACAAAAAAGATTGCATTATTTTTTATACTTAGGTGTAAAAGAAACAAAAAGCCTGTTTTAAAGGACAAATTTTGAAATGTAAGCGAGATGTTTGATAAATTTATTAAAGATTATTAAAGTTATATTCCTCGCAGCTTCTGCGTTCGTCTCTCGCCTCTTACATACTTACTATATCTTTCTAATTTGTGTTACATACCTCATGCAATGATATTATATTATTTTATGCTCACTGCCTAAAGTGATATTTTATCTGTAAGGATTTGATCGTCTGTCTTATTTAAAATATTGGTCTGTGGTCAAATAATGCCACGTGATTTGGCAATTGTAACTTGTGGTATTCAAAGCATATTTTGTTTTTTTTTTTGCAACTGAGGAAGGAAATAACTCTTTTCTCTTTGACATTTTGTTGTAAGCCGACGACGACGAAGTGAAAAGAGGCTTTGAGTTGAAGCGTTGAAAACGGAGATATGGAGTCGGAACACCAAGGCAATGTAGAGGAAGTAGAGGAAGCTATGGAGTCGGAACATCAGCCTAAACTTAGCCCTATGAGAGCATTCCAAGGTAGGTCTGTAGTTGAAACGCTTGTTTTCGTACCCAGGTCACGAGGTCGACGTTATTTAAATTTGTGTTGTAAACAAAGCTGCTTAGATGGATAATTGCTCATGCATTCGTAACAGCGTAGAACTATTATAGGTAGCGCTTTTAGGGTCTCTAAGTAAGTTTTTTACCACACTTTCATGTTTTTCAATGATTTAAGTAGTTTTACATTTCTACCTACATTTTTTGCCCTGATTAAATTCAATATTCAGTCTCATAGATTGAAGTGGAATTTGAATGTCTTAGATTGAATATTTTGTATGAGTTATGAAGAAGTTTCCTAGCATATGAACAAATTGTAACTCTGTTTTAAAAACCAGGCTAAAATCGGAAAATAATAGCGCAAAAATTATTATAAAATTATCTAAGTAACATGCAAAAAGCATCTGGATATATTGCTCTTCTTGTTAGTCAGCAAGTAGATGTGAAATCTTACATCTAATTCAGAAAACCTAAAATAATGTTAGGGTGGATGTACCAGTCACGGACCAGGTACTAGTAGTACACTATTTCAAACATAAACAAGAAGGAAATTTGAAAATTTCCGTCACTTTTTTGCTTATGACTTTTACCAATCAGTCACTTCAAGTAGTCAGTTCCATCACAATTGACAACGAAAAAATAAATAACGCACTCAACATCTAATGCAATGCGAAACACAGCAATTATAATCATTTATGTGAAACCTTTTGAGGGTAGTTCAAATGAAACTGACCTAGTTGCCACCCGAGCTAGCAAATACACATAAAAATGTTTTCAACAGGTTTTGGTATGTTTTTTTGTATTGCAACTACATTCTACATATTATTATGTATATGGAGTCAGAACACCAAGGCAATGTAGAGTATCTTATATATTGTAAATTATATAATTATGACTAAAATAGCAAATTGATCAAATTCTGTGCATAATTATGATAAAATCACAAATTCTAATTGGTATATATTTTAATGAAAATAGTTACGAAAATTATAATGATACATATGTATATAAAATACCAGGAGTGCATATTTGTTTGTTTACTTTTCTATGAAATAAAAGTATCCCTTTTTTAAAATGGTGTCATGATTACATATTTTTAAGCAAAACACAAGGTACAATGTCTTAAAATTTTTAATATCTAATATGTACCCATGGGTAATTCTTACAAAATCTTGAAATTCTTGTCCTTTAGGTTTGTAAAAAAAGTATTTCATTCTTTTTGTATAATTCATATTTAATAGCAAATTATATTTCAATTGCTACTAATGCCTACTTAATATTGATTATTCTATTTATTCCCAAAATCTTTCTCTCACTATGTCCTAAGTTTCATAATCAAACACATACTGTGCTTTAAGTCAACACATTTAACAAAAATAACCTTTCAATTTTAAACATTAGATAACATGTTTTTTTTTTATATGTTTTTGTGAAATTAAAGTTATGCTAAGATAAAAACACGATAAATAAATTTTACTTAAAAATATATATTATTCATGTCCCAGACAAAGAAAAATACCCTCACACTTTTACCTTCACTCAATTTGTGAATGCTTTTTTAATCTTTGGTAACGCATTTATAACTTTTTGAAAGTTAGCAGCACTGTCAACATTTCAAAATGACAAAATTCATCTTGTGTGTGTAGAAAGTTTCTAGTAGGAAAAGATTTTATTTAAAATTCTGAAATAACATATTATAACAAAACAAGTCAAGCATTTGATTTTATTTATTAATTATACAATCAGACTAGTTATTGGTACCAGAAAGCTTACACGAAATATTAAGTTTAAAAGTAAGTTTATATCGCTATTTCTTCTTTGTTTATTTTGATTTCGTCATTCCCTCACCCTCAAATGTTCTGATTACCCTCATATTTTTCTTAAAAGTCATTTATTTTGGGGACCACTATCTTCAATTTCTGACAAATTTCGGAATTTCGTAAGAAATAGCCACATACTCCAAAATGTCTGAATGTTTACATTTCATTGTACGAGATTGTACAGTACATGCTGGTCAACTTAAGTACAACCTACATTGTGATGCTAGGTCTTTTGAATAATAAAATGCATTTTCTTTTAAGAAAATCTGTATGCATTATTTGATTGCACAGTATATAAGGAATAGTATGTAGCCTATTTTGCAAGAGTTGGCGCAATCAGCTAAGTACAGAGACAAATTTTGACTGAAAATTTATCTTATGCGGTTATTGGTACATCCACCCTAATTTATTTTAAAAATTGAGCTGAAATTCGCCATTGCAGCCCTAATGCATGGAAGACAAAATCCTAGCAAACAGGTTGGAGAGATTGTTGATGACCACACAGAGGATGGAATTATACCTGCGTCAAAATCGCTTCCAAAAGGTGGATATATTTTTAATATGCAGTAGAAGTCTTGAACCCCCACATTGGTGAACAACCACTTTGCACTACATACTACCTAAAAATATTACTTGCCTTATCTTTAGTCAGTCAAACTTAGCTTTTATCTTTTCCCACAGTAACATTAAGGAATGTGTTATTTTTGTAGTCGACGTAGTAATTAGTAGCAACTTAGCACAACGCTATACATTTTCATGTAGCTCTTAGCTGTATCCACACTTAGATAGATCACGCCCAACAAATTAGAATAGAATAGAAACCATTTATTACAATGCCACAACATAAAAATACACAGAAAGAAGGAATATTTGTGTATTTATTTATATTTTATTTATTTAATAAATAAGTAAATAATTAAAAGAATAAAAAAAATGCCACAGAAGTAAAACTAAAAATAAAATAAAACAAAAAACAATGAAGGAATCGTATAAAATTTTTAATAGTTAAATAAATGTCTTGTGTGTGGCTGTGGTATATGCAAAAGGATTCACTGAGCTAATGCTACATTGAGAAAAGGTTTTGAGGCTGGTTTTCAGTGGATCATAAAACCTTGTCACTGGTGTCATATATTTGTATTTACTGCCATTTATAACTAACGCATTTGGTTTTGATGGTGACTATATATTCTAAATCCTCATTTAATTTATCCACGGTTTCAAAGAGTGTCACAATGTTTACATTACACATATCTTAATTTTTATATCAGCAGCATAAATAGTTTATACTTACTTACGGATTTTAATTTCAATATATAATTTATATCATATATAACATCCGCGCTGTACATTATAAAGTCGACAGAGCCTACAATCTAACCTTGCACTTCGCGCGTGTCGTCACGTGTCTTCAATTGTAATTTAGAATCACTCTGATCAGAAATTTCGCCACACTGAGACTGATTTTTCAGAAAATTGTCGAACCATTTGATGGTAATAAGGATATAAGGGTCATTACTGAGTGCGATGAATTTCTGCGAGGGTTCGTTGTACCTACTCTGATCTGTTAATTGTATTTGGCGGTATTTCATGTTTTTTTTTTTGTTTTTATGGTGCCTTATGAATTTAGTAAATAATGAGTGTTACCAATATGATAAGTGCTTTTAATGTTGTATCTCACTTGAGCTTTTACACACCCGTATGATAATATCGACACCGAACCTGTCACGGTTCCTTATTTAAATATATATCTTTTTATTTTGAAAATAAGCGAGGGATACTCAAAAGAGCGAGTAGCCACACAGACGTCTATAAAGTCACTTTTATTTACAAAAACATAACAATTAGTAGAAGTTTTGAAAATCCACAAATGTTGGAAATCCACTTTCGAGTATGGAGTTCTGGCTTGATGCTGACATAGCGAGCCATTTATTATTTGAACCCTTTAATTGTGTTGTATGACAATCGTGTTGTATTTTTGTGTTTATTGCTTATGTAATAAAGTATTATGTTGGTGGATAGACAGGGAATGTTCGCTATTGCTTCACTCTATATTTCTTCTTTTATATTTCTCATACAATATGTGCTTTTTGGTTACCAGCTTTTTTACTTCATGGGATTGAGGACGATGCATACACAAGTCTCTCAGAATATCATGACTATGAACCATGTCTGGAATTTGATGACTCAGAGTTAGTTCAACAAAGCACTGGATTAGGTAAGTGCACTCAACACACTTCGCACTTGACATTGAAGTCCTGTTTTCGCCTTCGGTACTAGTGGATGGTATGGTGTAATTGAATGATTTTCGAAACTATGTCATACCGTATGTTGTGCGTTTGGTGGGTGTTGGGTCCTACTAGTGTCATCTGAGCTCCCCTAAGAATCTTGGGTTTGCTGAAGATTTCATGGAGTGACCTCGACTCTCCAAGGTTTTTCGCTCTGTAGTTAGGCACGCCGAAACACTAGTAGGATATTGCGCAACTATTTCCTACTCCATGCACGCTCTACATAGAGGGTTTGTGATACCTAATTCAATATATGTTTTTTATATGTGCCATATATGTTATATGCGACAAAATTGTGTTTAAAGAATGTGTTTCATTCTACCTAAATACCTAAAGTATTGAAATACATGAGAAGACTACATTAAGCAGTATCTTTTGAGAGGACTTCATTCATAGATGATATTATAAAGATATTTTGAGGTATCTAGGTACTTATCAAAGAGTAGTCCTTAATATTACAAAATAAAATTATCCAAGATTATAGTCATGAATCAGACCTGAACTTTGGTACATTTTAATGGTTTAGAACAACTTTCCAAATTTTACTTCCTGACCATTGACCCAGCAACCTGATGAACTATAACGTGCAAATCTGACCACGCGTTTTCGAATACGGAACACTCGAAAGAATGGATAGCGTATTTCTTTTTTAATTTTTTTAATATTAACTACCGTTTAATACACACTCGACTGAATGTATATCTTTATAATATCGAACATCGTGTCCGGGTGCACAGAGCATAATAGTAGAGTTAAGACCCTAACGTTAACAATTGACAGTAACATTCTTAAAGCGGCTCTATTTAGTGACAATTGACGATCACTCTCGAACAGGAAAACGTTGCGTGGAAATCTGCATGCATGCGAGGAGCTTATCAGAGTATACGCGTGATTTAGTGTACTTGTAATATTTTTGTATTTTATCAGCGCCCACATAAAAAAAAAGGTGAGTTGGGTTTAATACATAATTTAAGAGGATGCTGAGCCGTAGACATTTTTCATAACATTACAAATGCTATTTTTTTTTTTCTATTATTTTGTTATTTTCTATAATTGCTTGTGGTTTATTATTGTGTTATAGGATTTTGTAGTTACAGTTTCTACTCGAATTGAATTTTAGTTGAACTATATTACGTGTTGAACTTCTTAATATTAAAACTCAAAAAATAAATAAACAAATAAAGTTTAATTTAATATTTTATGGATATATACCCAATAAAACGTTCACATAATATTTTTGTGTGTATATTATTTTTGTTAATTTGTGATAAAAATGTATGTATGTATGTTGACATATAACTAGTTTCACAGACGAAACTAAATTCTTAATCGGGAAGTTAGTGATGGCTCTAGCGAAGTTTTCTTATCGCGAGGGAAGTGGGTTTTTATGAACGAATCCATGACAAAGACACAATTTTTTATCCTTGATTTTAATTTTCAGTAAAAAGTTACTACTTTGTAATAATAATAAATATTTATTTGCTTTCAACAAAAATGTACACACTGTATACAAAATAATAAATTATAAAATAAGGCTAAGAGAAATTGTACATTGCTATTTATGTAAGCCTCTGCAGCCAAACTAGGAATTAACCTGTATCTCAGCGTACAGTGCTTACCACACGGATAATACAAGCTTTAGCCAATTAAGGATGGTGGTCAATCCGTACTAGTCACTACACTAAACAGTTTAGAAAATTTGGAAGGTAAAAATTACATTAACATAATAAAACATTGCAGAATTGGCAATAAATGTACACTAATAAAAACTTTGTAGTACTTGGTACTTGGTGGTGGTGGTGGTGGTCAAAGCGGCTATTTTGCGTGTGTTACTTTTAATAATAATATTAATAAAAGAACAGAAGATTTCACACATTTTTTTATCGGGCTATAATGTTCTATTACATGTTACAAACCTCCAAAATTTTTTGTTCAAGCAAACTAATGATAATCTATTTTAATTTCATGAAAGTCATTTTTTTTTTCTACGGAGAACATTAGTATAATCACGCACTAATAAAATTTAATTTAATTTATTTTCACCGTTTTCGTCATACATTTTTTCGAAATAAATCCATTAGGCGCAGAATTATTGAAATTTAAACTTTTTTTTCCTGAAACGTTGATGTTTTGATAATCCGCGTTTGTTCGGTGGGGCCGTTGATTTAGACAACACTTACCAGACGTCGTCTGGACAAGAACAAATACTAATTGAAAACAGAGTTCACTACTACACCGATTGCAATTTGTGGAAGCCTTAATTATAATTCCTGATATGTTTATCTAGAAATCGATATGCAATAATCTAAACCGATAATGCGTCGCTACTCGTGTGCATTTACCCACGATGGATACACGAAACTCGCAGCCGCTATTTCGTAATAGAATAGGTAAAGAAATTATATCGCATTATACGAGAAGTACAAGGTCAAGAGCTTGTGAAACTTGATATTTAAGATTAAAATTGATGTGTTCTTGACTGTACTAATAAAAAGCTATTATCTATTAACTTTTGAATCGATTTTCGAAGGAGTTTTTTTTTGTTGTTACGCCTGTAGCACCACTACCACCAGAGCTGCTGAACTTGAATGAGGAGCTGCTGGAGAGACCGGCCAGTGACGGCACCATCGAGGAAAACTTCGAGGAAGAGCTCGCGAAAGCACCCGAAGTATACACTGAAGTGAGAATATTCAAATCTTTATAAATCTTCCAGAAAAGAGCTCGAACATCCCTTTTCTGTAAGAATCCATATCTTATAAAGCACCCGAACGAATAAAATAACATCGTCCAAAATACACCCACTAAAAGTGTGTCACTACACTACACTAGGGATCAAGAAATTTTTGTCAATTACAAAAATTAGGATTTTTTTTAACATCAATGGTTTTATTTGGTAGTTTCATAATTATAGAGAAAATAAATTTATATAGATGTTTCTATTTAATTTTAATAGGGTAATCTAATATTTAAAAAAATACATTGATCCCTAGACACTTTTGAAGTGTGTAGTTAGCATATTAAGTCTTTAAACTAAAAAAATATAACCCACATCCTGCCAATTCTTGTAACTCTATCGACTAATATTGTCGACAAGTTACAAGAATTGTCTTATTTTTTTTTTTTCTGTATTTAATGGAGCAAAAGACGGTTTTGCCGTAACTTCAATTATGCCTTTTTTCCATGAGAGGTGACGTATTTTCCAAGAGCATATAAGCGTCTAGACACGCAGTGTCCCAAACGATGTTGATAAAAAAATTATACATTTTTTATTATTAATGAACACACAGCTGCGTGTTAGAGACACCGTGTGACTCTTAGATGCTACAGTACTAATTAAATCGTTAGGTCCCGTGACGTGTTAAGTGAGGCATGTTGGAACACCAACCAATTTTTCCACAGATCTCGGGGTCATTAGATGAAGAGAGCTTTTCAGACTTGACTGGAACGGGGCTGGTTGAGGTGGTGGGGGATGATGAGGTGGGGCGACGTATCATCGTCGTGTCTGCCTGTCGCTTGCCGCCCAACAAGGAATTACATCAAGACAAATTGCTAAGGTAACACACGTCTGTCAGAACTGTCAAAACTGAATTTTAGGGCTTATTTCCAGTTGTCACCACCGGCTTTGTGGGAAATGGGAAAAAACATCCCATATGTTACCAGGTGTTGACAAACGGGATTAAAAATCTCAGTTGTTGCCTGTGGTGAATTCCACTGGCGGCAAATGGGAACAAAACTCACATGTTACCTGGTGGTGACAAATGGGATAAAAAGATCTGTTGTTGCCACTGGCGACAAATGGAATTTAAAATATCCCCGTAATTGCCAGTGGCAAAAAAGAAATGGAATAAGAAATCCCAATTAATGTTTGTTTATTAATTAATATTTGGTGGTTTCAACCTCTCCAAGCCGCTTCTTGTAGATACAATATGCTATATACCTATATGTAGACGTTTATTTACTCATTTGGAACACCCTATTTTGACCATTGGTAAAAACCAAGACTATGTCGTACGCACTGTCTACACCGGTGAAAGTAAATACTTATTTGAATCGCACGTTTTGTTCCACCCTTATGAAATACTACGGTGATACGAACTAGGGTTGTTGCGAATATCAGCATCCGCGGATAATCTGCATAAATTATAATATCCGCACCAGCATCCGCATTCGTCGATGCTGATATTTATTGCAATTATTCCAGGGTGCCTTTTAGGTCTTGTCACGACTCGATCCTCCGAGCCGTAACAAGACCTAAAACGCACACTGGAATAATTTATAAACCTTCCAGAAACAGACTGTAAGCCGAAAAAGCAGTTCAGTTATTGTTTTTAGAATATAATTTTGATAAAAGTCCACATCGATGAAGCTAGGCAGATTGATTGTTTTCATGCAGAATGATTCTTATGTTAATAAATGTCACAGAATAAAAAAAAAATGACAATACCAAATGAAAGCTTTAGCGTGTAGATAAATTCGTAAGGATGCACGATTTCGCTTTTTTTAATATAAAATTCAGCATCCGCTGATGTTCGGGTCAAAAATCAGCGTCCGCATCAGTATCCGCTGATGTGTAAAAAACTCGCATCAGCAACAACCCTGATAAAATATAGGTTTGCAGGTACCTGATTTTCACGCTAGACAAATACGTAGAACAAGATTACAGTCTTGTTTATTTCCACCATGGACTGTCGAGCAAGAACAAGCCAGCAATAACCTGGTTATGGAAGGCATACAAGGCGTTCGATAGGAAATACAAGAAGAATCTAAAGGCGTTGTACCTGGTCCATCCGACAAATTTCATAAGAATCGTATGGCAAATGCTGAAACCCGCTATCAGCGTTAAGTTCGGCAGAAAAATGATGTACGTCAACTACTTACATGAACTTCAACAACATTTGAACTTGGAGAAACTTTGCATACCTGAACAGGTTCTCGAGTAAGTGTTTTGAGCATCTAACTTTCTGATTATGGTAATAAATAGTATATGGATTAACATCGTTTGAAAATACACTGTTACTAAATACATCATTATCCTTTTCATTTATCCAATCACGTCTCTCTGCTGAGGCACATGTTTTTGAAGGATATACCTTTTTTAACTGACTTAAAAAAAAGGAGATGGTTCTCAATTCGACTGTTTTTTTCGTATGTATGTTACGCGATAACTCCGGTATTTGTGAACCGAATTTGATGATTATTTTTTTGTTGGAAAGAGGTTACCTCCATAGTGGTCCCATTCAATTTTGAAGAAAATCAATCACCTCAGGATGACTACTCACCTAAGGATGACTGTTCACGCATGAGGATTCATTTTTATAAATAGCGCCTTTATTTTTTATTATAAGGAGCAATTATTTTAATTATTGATTTTGCTATTCTCCATTATTATATACTTTGAGTAGTGAGAACCGATTTTTATTATCTCTTGTGTCAAGTCCCGTATAGTGGCGAACTAGGGGATGAGTCCGGGTTTGCGCACTTTTTGTTACACACGTTTAATTACTGTTTTAATTAAGTTATGATTTATAAACTCTCGTATGGGAATTGATCGTGAAACTTCCTACTCAAGAAGAAAGCGTTCTCTCAACTGAGCTACCGCTGCTCTTAAATTACAATAATCCAATTTGCTTAACATAAATTGTTATGACACAGGAACGACAAAATGTTGCTGTCAAAAAATCCCAGAGCAGCAGAGATTGCGAGAGTAAGCGCAGAGAAGATAGATAAAGTCGTGGCGCCAGAAGTGGACGCGACGAGGAAAGAACTATCGCCGCCGCCGACGCAGCAGTTCGGAGTGTCGCTGCAGTTCATCAAGGAGAAAAACCCTGACATGATCGGATCTATACCGCCCCTTGTGAGGCAATGCGTCGAGTTTCTTTCACAGCCTGATGGTCAGTAGAACAACTATTTCCGAAGTGTACATTGCAGTTTTTTTATTCTTTATTTATTTAAGGGCTTTCATCGTTATTGAACATGTCAGCCCCATTAGAAAAACAATGCCTCAAGAAAATACTTAATAAGAATCCAGACAGGTAAATCAAAATACTACCTAACCAAACACGTTTAACAACGCGGTTATTTACACGTTTACACGTGCAAATAACCGTGCCCTGATGGGTTCCGTCCAACACACTCCATTAGCAATTGATGGACATCTCTGGAACCCCACACACTTTGCTATTCGGTGTATTTGTTTAACGGATCGAAGCCTATGCGCGTTGACAATTTGACTGAACACGAGGAGACTCACTCTGCATGGTCTTGTACCAGATTCCTTTTTCCTGTGACCTCATATCGAAGTATAGGATCCAACGCGAATAGAATTTGCTCTTATAGTATGCAACCACTTCAGAGAAGTCAGACACAATGTCAACCCCAGGTCGTAATTTACGTCTTACAGCTTTGGAGACAGAGGGTATATTCCGACGTTCTGCGAACAAGTCAGTGATAATGGAGCTACAGCGCGCGTGCAACCGCGGCGAGCCGATCTCATTCCGCGACGATCCGCATATCGCGGCTGTTTTACTCAAGACCTTCCTGAAGGATCTCGAAGAACCGCTCATGACCTTCGACTTATACGAGGAGATACTCCAGTTTCAGAGTAAGCACTACACTGTATAATGGATTTTATAAACGACTTTAAAAAAGGAGGAGGTTCTCAATTCCACTGAATTTTCATTTTTTTTTTGTGTATGTGTTACGCGATTACTCCTGGCATTCATGAACCGATTTTGATGATTTTTTTGTTGGAAAGGGCGCGGGTACCTCAGTATTGGTTCCAATTATATTTGAAGAAAATATTCTACCTGTAAGGGTGGCAAACTAGGGGTGAATCCGATTTCGCGCACTTTCCAGTAACCGATTTCAATAAAACTTGGTAAATAGATATAATTCCACGAACTTCTGTGGTTGATATTTTTTTGTAACAATTGCGGTCGGGTTTTTTTAAATATAAAAGTTATAATTTTTAAAGAAGTAAAAATTAACTGGAAGTCCATACTTTATCGCAGAAGACGTACACGGCAATTATAAAATAAAATTAGTGCGCATTTGACCTCCATGCATCGAGTATATAACCAGAAATGGAGACGAAATAAGAGCCATCCATCCCTGACAACTCATCAGTCAATTGGTACTGGTATCACTTTTAAAAATCAACTCTCGTTTGCGCTGAAATCACAAATTTGAAAGCTGAAATAGTACAGCGCCAACAACTGACCTGTGTGTACCAATTGACGACACCCGTCAATTGTTTCGAATTCGGGCTGACCAATCAGAGCGCAGTTGTCACCGTAATGATATGTGTGATTGATATAAACGAATGGCAGTATAGTTTCAAACAAATTAAATGACATTTCGTCTCTATTTGTGGTTATATACTCGATGCCTCAATGTCATCTGATGGAAAGACACAATGAGGTCGGCGATGGAGCATTCACACCTATATAATGCCTATACACTCGTCTTGAAAAGATCCAAGTTGTAGCGTCCAGGGAACAAACCAGCGGTCAGGCAATTCCACCCCAAAGCCGTAAGCCATATAAATGTGGAAGCGTGATGTATCGTGCGAATCATAGGTATTATGCACAACATAAGTTTGCGTAAGTCTGAAGCCGCGATGATGGAAAGGTGATGGCGGAAATATATCATACAATTCCATCACGCACCATCGTGATATATCTATTGTACGTTTTATATTTTTATTTATTTAACCATTTATTGCACAGGAAAACACCAAAACACATTTAGTTACAAGGAAAACATAAACAGAAGGTACTCCTTATTTCTAACAGGAAATTTCTTCCTGCAGACCTAAATACAGGTGACAATAATTACAGTAACGGTTTACGTGCACAACAAAACAAAAATTATGTAATAAAAAAAAAACAATATCAAAAACATTAAATTATTAAAACTATTATAAATACTTAGATAAATACATATTTCGTACTATAATAAAATGGATGGAACAGTCGGTAAATAGTGTGCCTTAACTCTCATTTTGAAAATGACTTAGGATTTACCATAGTGAACAATAGTAGGTAGTACGTTCCAAAGTCTTTTATTATCGGCAGCGTGGACAAACAAGGCGAAACCTCGTCAGGTGAAGATACTGATCCTGGAGAGGCTTCCACTCGACAACTACAAGCTGCTCAAGTACATCATACAGTTTCTGTGGAAGGTGAGTTTGGGTTCAACAGCGAAAGAAGTATCCGATATCTCTTTCACTGTGATTTCAAACTAGTATTGTGTATCCACTCGCACTTACCGAAACTTAGTACAGTACAACTATTTTCTTAATATCTGTTGGCGATCTCTGTGGATTTGTATCAGTTTCCCTTTGCACTTTGTTTTTTATTACCAAGTGACGGGACGAACAAGTCGTGCGCCAGATGGTAAACGACACGTCTGTCCATAACAGTTGCAGTGCCACTCAGAGCTTTAAATCGCAAAGATCTGAGGTGCACTGCCTCTGCGCCCATTACCCTGGGACATAAGTAGAAAAGTCCTATGTGCTTGTACTTTCACCAGCACCCTTACCTTTCAAAACGGGATCGCAGTAATGGTCACATTGCTGCTTGGCGGCAGAAGTAGGTAATAATAGAAATAGGTAATGGTGGCAGTACTTCACTGGACGAACTCTTTCACAAGGAGCTTTACTGCTACTAAACGATGGTCCAACACACGATCTGCTAAGAAATTTTAATACAGTATGTGTTGTAATGACAAAACCATACCTCCAATGAACACTACGCCATCTTTATTTTTTGGTCGTCTTCTGTTATTTTTGTAAACAGCCATATTTATTTGCCTTAGTAAATAAATATGGCGGTTTAATATAAGTATAATCTTATCCCTCCCCGAATTCTGTGAAAAAAAGAAACAAGAACAAAAAAACGAATTTTGTAAAAAAAAAGAAAAAACCAAATAAAAACAGAACAGGTCCAAAAATTAAGTTGGCTTAGTGTTCATTGGAGGTATCGAATACTTTGCTTTCTATACAAACGGTTTGGATGATTTAGACAGGATTTTAATAAGGAGGCTAGATTTATTATTACAATGCAGTCATCGCCCCGTTCCAGGTGCAAGATAGAAGCTGTCTAAACAAAATGACGAGTAGCAATCTGGCGGTGGTATTCGGACCGAACCTTGCGTGGCCGCCCAACGGGCAGATGTCGCTCCAAGCCATCGCACCCATCAACGCTTTCACAGATTTCCTACTGGAGAATCAGGAATCGATCTTCATCATATAAAAGGCAACATCGCAAAGTCTAGGGACCATAGACTTAGAATATATAATTCCGGACAATATTCTGTTATGATTATCACTAATTACAGGTTCTCTACTACGTTATGATCTCCTTTTAGTTTCATAATGTAGGGTGTAACCGTTCACGAATAACGGGAAAATGAAAAGAAATCATACTGTGTTAAGAAACCTGTAATTAATGAATTACCACGAAAGTGTTAAAATCTATATATTCTACTATTCAATAAACTATTCAGAGAATTTGATTTTGGTACACTTTTATCATACTGTTCTAGTGTCTGGAATATTCTAAGTCTATGCCACGGACAAATCAAACGGAGACCATCTAATAATTGTTTTTCATGAATGGACAGTGTTCCTATGATCTGACGTCCAGAATACGCTTCAATATTAAAACATAGTAATGTCTTTTAACATTTTTGAAAGGTAACAGCTATCTTCCCACTTAAATTCTTAACATTTTTGAAAAGAAACAGTTATCTTCCCTCTTAAATTCTTCCGTGTAATGGGAATGAAACAATTTTTTTTTCGAATCTTAGTCAACCGTGACTAAGGATGAAGATAAAAAAAATTGTTTTCATTTACAATGTGTAGCAATTGCGAAAGTCTTGGGGAGCTTCAAATTAGACAGTTGCACAGTGTTTTATAATCCCCAATTTTATGACATGCCCTTTTTTCCAGATTCCTATAGTTTGAACCATTGAGTAGAACTAATATAAATGCGAGAGTAGAACACCGCCACTGGTGTGACAAATATGTATAGTCTCAGTGAAAAAATTTTTTGAAAATGTGCTAATTTTTGTCCGGATAAACATAAAAAATATCCCTAATCCCTAATCCCTGTCGTTCGATAAAACCATAAATGACGCACATTTTAAAGTAATCGACAACGACTTAGTTAATTCGTTACGAAGTCATTAAATTTAATTTCTTTTCCGTTTTTAACTTTATATTTAAATCATTATTCATTCGAGATTTTTATACCAGTGGTTGCTTTAGCTGTCTTCTACATACCCTAAAATTATCATGAACTAATTCCGTCGATTATTGTAATGGCAACGGTGGTGCTGAAGCTGCGCCTCTACTAAGTTTCATGCAATATTTATCGCAGCTGCAGAGCTACAAGTCTAATTTGAGGACACCCTATAAAGGCTCGATATTACTTCCATATAGTTATATAGTGTAAATTGTTTACAAATCTAGACTCCATAAAAAATTTGAAAATAATTATTTTAAATCTACTTTACCAACGAATTGGGATTTTGCTCCTATACAGGAGATCCCAAGTTCAACTCCATATTATTAATTAAATTTTAAATTAGATGCTTTTAGAAGCGCTACAGTGGAACCACAGTGGCGCTGCAGTCGCGCCGCCATTATTTTTCATACAATGTTAAGGCGAATCACTGGAGGAGAAGCGGGATAAACTATTTTACTTGATTAAATGGTTTAGGCATTCACTATTGAATAACGGTCTTAAAAAAAATACACGATACACCTAAGGATATTGTCTACAGAATGTGCTAATTTGTTACACGATAGGGTGCACTTTACTTGATCATATAAAATCCTGAAAACAGGCTAGAATGAAAGCTTAAAACGAATTGTTCAAGAACAAAATATCAAACTGCACATAATTTTTATATGGAAAAATCCCAAAGTTGGAAATTGTTCAGCGGTTTATCGACACGCCGCGCCGCCCGCTGCCCCTTCAGTTGACGACTCGTCTGTGTTAAATTTTCCCCGCTCATTTCATTCAAACTAAATGTCAGTGCACGGGCTGCGGGACGCAAGGGGCGGTCATCCACACGCTACCTCCTAAAATATAGAAATCGCGTTGAAATACATCGCCTTCAGAAGCGCAGTTGCAGCGCCACTATCGTAACGTGACAAGTGTACGTGCACTATTTTTGCAGTCACAATAAGTGAACTAAAAATTACTAAAGAGCTACAGTAGCGCAGCTGCCGCGTTACAGACGTTCAGCTGCCGCATCACTGCAGCGTTTCTACTAGCGTGTAATTTGAGGCGCCTTAAACCCTCTCATTAGAGAAATGCCGTGACTTACAGAGCGGCGAAAAATAATTGTTGATGATAAGTATTAGTGAATTTATGAGATATGTAACTACGTTGTGGCTGTCTGTGTCGCCTATACTAAATCAAACCCTTGTTATAAAATAAAGAGATCAATGAACTGAATACGAAAACTATTCGGGAGCCAAAATTTTTAAGAATCAATCAAACGTACTGGATGTTCTTATGCATGAATGGTCCAAGGACTCGTGTCATTTTTCAGATTAAAATATTAAGGGAATGCCATATTTTCATATAGCACAAATTTAAGAATTTTGATGTTATCGTCGATTGGATCACCTCTGCATTACAATTCTCTGTTTTTTTTGCACATGTACAGGGTCAAGAGCACGTCAAGCTTCACACTTAAGACTTAAATCTAACTATACCGCTTACGACAATAACGGTCCAAACTACAAAGTGTCAAGCTTGATGTGCTCTTGACTGTACCAGGAGTCACTCAGTCAGAGCGACCTTAATTTGTCATACAAAGTAAAGTTGTTAAACATTTTAGGCGGTCACACCTGTCATTCATGCTCGGTCTCCTGGTCTTGGTCCTTTCTCGCCTTCTCTCCTGGAGTTGATCCAAGTCAGTTTTCTAATTTACTTTGAGGACTTCATTTTAAATAGCGATTGTTATTGTATTGTGAAATGAAGTACAACTCCTATACTGTCGAATTTTTTACCGAATACATTCTATTCTAGTATTACTAATGTCGATTCGTGTTCAGAACGCTGTTGACCAATGTCGCATCACCACTGCAATGAAGCTAAGTGATTGGTCCGCTTTCATTCTCAACTGCATATCACGTGATATTAAACCATGCGATTGGTCAGTTTCCTTTCAGCATTTTTAACGCAAATGAACTAAAATTAAAGTTTATATACCAAAAATAACAAAGAGTAGTATAAGGTTTTTTATATGTTAATTATAAGTTGTACTAACTCAGCAGTAAGCGAAGCTAGTTCTTTTTTAAAGGCATTAGAACATAATTTTAAGGATATTTCAAGCTTTAAAAAGAAATTATTTTAAACATTAAGAATCTGATGTGACCGGATGTTACAGACGGCTTTACAAGTGCTCGCTTCAACGGATAAGCTGCGGACACAAACTTTACGCATTAGTTTGTTCCGGCATCTACTACACCACTAAACTGGGCCCTAAATGTGATTATTGTTGGATCTGAGTAGTGTAATTAACATTCAGTTTCAATATAATGTTATTACGATAAAATCGAGTGTGACATAGTTACGCTCGTTTGGTCTCGCTCTTAGCCTAGCAACACGCGTAATTTTGGCGTCTTCTAGTTTCTTCCCACAATGAATAACTTCGTCCTGTATAGCGTTAAGGTAAAGAAAAACAGACGACAGTATCTACGTTCATAAACAGTGTTGCTTCATATTAAAAAACGTTTTATAATTCCATAATGTTTCTCTAATTTATATAAAAAATAGATAAATAGTGTTTTTAAATGGGACAGTATGAGGAAATCCGAAATCAGTAATGATACAAGGAAACTATCTTAGGTACCATTACGTCTTTTTTTGTGAGAACAATTTTGGCATAGTCAATTTTTTGGTCAAGCGTGAAATATTCATAAAAATTAACAAAAAACAAGACTCAGTTTCAGGAAGGGACAATTTCATTATATGGGACGATAAAAATCCGAGCACCAGAAGTTGGTAAAATTTAATTAAATAATTTTTCATACAAAATTCTTTTATAATGTTGGACTCAGTCTCTTAAAATAATGATTTTATTGTATTGGAAGCTTGACCAAACAATTTACTATGCCAAAATTGTTCTCACAAAAAAGTCTTAATGGTTCCTGAGACAGTTTCCTTCTATCTTTTGGTTTCGGATTTACCCATACCGTCCCATTAAAAAAAACCACTGTATATTATTATGATTTCGATCATGTTCTTTCCTTGGAACCTCCGCAGTCTTTACGTTACTTCCGCATCGTCCTCTTTATCACGATTGGATGTAATTTAAATTTTGACGAAAAAAAAATTACTTCGTAATGTAAATAATTCCATTTCGTTATAATTGTAAGTACGTACATACAATTGATTTTGTAAGGGGCCACATGAGCCATCTTTTTACTCGTCTTCCACTTATACGGGTAATGTAAAGACTCATTGTTAAGTCTTATGGCCAAATACAGGAAATTCCCACTATAAGCACGACTGAATTAACGCGTTATACATAATTGACTTAACGTTCACATTTTGTTTGTCAGTTAAGCTCGGTACAGATTATTCGTAACGTAACATGTAATGTCACGTGAACATCTATGGACGGTACTGCATGCAATCAAAAAAGCCGACAATCGGCGGAATGCGCGCGCTGCGAATGCGCGTAGAGAGCGCGCAGTGTGTTCGCAAACACATTAAAATGTATGGGAAAAATTTGCATTGCGTGTAGTGTTGCAAATAACCTGTATGCCTCGTTTTATACAGGGTGGCCCATTTACAGTGGTCCAAAAACAATGAAAGTTCTCTGTGCGTCAATAGGGCTAACATTATAGCTGTTACGTACATTATGTCTATTAAAGATTGGCTTGATAATAATTAAGGTAAATCTGAGTTGAACACGTGTTTTCTTCTGAAAAATTGAGTTAAAATTGTTAATTTATGAAGATCTTACAACACTACAATTTTATGTGTAAAGAATCCCTACATCTTAAGGCAGTTTTTAAGGCCATTAGCAAATTCTGTTTGTACATTTTTTCACACAGGAATTTTTAGAAAATTTAACATTTTGTACGTGAACAAATAAAAAATCTCCTAATTGTCTAAAATAACGGCTCCATCTAAGAACAAACACAAAAAATGGCCTATTACATGAACACTACTTCCATACCAAATTTCAATTAATTTAGTGGAATAGTTTTCGAAGTGAATGGTTTTAGTGACTAGAGTAGAAAGATTTCAAAAAAGTACATAAAAAAAATCATAACTTCTAAACTATTGAATTTCGCGGAACTAACGTTTATTTTAAATGGGTCGTTATAATGTATTCTACCCAAAAAATAATAATTGTGCCATTGAAAATAGGCCACCCTGTATAAACATAATATATAATTTAAAATAACATTCCTCGTTATTGCTTTACAATTTGTAGGAATTGCAGTGCCATTCCAAATACCCACTTCCCTTATTGTTACGGCGTGCTCAGTTGGCGCAAGGTAAAAAATTTAATGAACCGAATGAAATACAGATGATAGAATTTCTTTTTAGCTTTGTATTTTAGATGTGTGCCATTGACTTACAATTATATGGACGTCGGGTCCGCGCTAAAATGTGTCCGAACTTATAGGGCGTTAAAATCATATACAGAGCGTCATTCACGCTTTAGTCTTTGTTTGTTCGACTGACAGCGAAGCAAGCAAAATTAGACAGTACTGCGATGACATTACATTTTAAATTCAACGTTTTAGCTTTTTCATATTCCTTTACATGTCACTACGTTTAAATAGGTTGACTTGGGACATTTTTTTCGTGGTTTTTGTATTAGACCCGTCGTCCATTTATTTGTAAGTCAATGATGTGTGCTAACTTCTATACTTTTTTGAGCCCATGGAGCCAAACCAAGTTCTTTTATCATAGTTGTATTATAAATAGTATGCTGATAACCAATAACATGTCAGATAATAGGATGATCATCATCAACCCTTTTGTACTTTCCACTGCTGGGCACGGGTTCCTTTCAGACGAGGGTTTAGACCATAGTCCGCCACGCTGGCCAATGCGGGTTGGGGACTTCACATGTTTTTCGAGAGTTGTGAACCTTCGATTTACAGGTTTCATCACGATGTTTTCCTTCACCGAATATGATCATCGTTTTGAGAAAATGGCGTCTAAAGATTGTTTTCGTATCTCAATCTCAATTTACAAGATTTTGTGAGTTGACACGTTATTGCTTATCAGCGTCTTAAATATATATTATTTTCAAAATATATTTACAATGCAATGTTATTAAAATATGTTGGTTATTCGTAAATAAGATATTTTAATAACATCTGATGCGCCTTTTACTAAATCTAATTTACTGGTCAGATTATACAAATCTTATTTGGTAATCTTATATGTAAACAAATAAAAATCCGTCATTTAAAATTGATACGCGATTATTAATTAATATTTCTAACACGCATTTTATTAATTTTAGTACGTGTTGAGTGAATGAAGCTTGATTTTACGTTTGTAATATATTCCATAAAATGTTTCGTCATTCCTAAAATAATTGAATTTTGTAAAGATATTTATGTCAATGCGGGATATTAATGAGTCGTAGTAAAAAGTTTTATAATCGTTATTAATGTGTAAGTAGAAGAGCCTCGAATTTTGACGGCGATGCGCTAAGTGGCCCAATGGTTTGCACTATGGACCAATTTGGAAAATTTTCCTAAATTTCTTCCGGTCTAGGTATTCTGGGCAGTGCTCCTGAGTGCATTCCGTTGCTCTGGTACTTATAGTATAAGAAATTCCCTAGTATGAGACCAGGTAATTATCAATGGAAGTTTTGTATTTCTTTGAGGTATATGTTGTTAATAAAGCAAGGTAAGGACTGTGGGGACTTTTTAATTAATCATTATATATTATTTATACAACGAACTACGGTTAATTTCTTTATTTTTGTAATTGCGGTGGCTGGTTTCATTTAGAGGAATAATTTTCTACAAATTCCATTCGCCTTTACGACGACTTATGTAATTACGGTCAACAGAGGGCGCTTTGTACGGCATAAGAAATTGTCAATGAGATGGTAACAACCCACAAGGGTTCGTCTGATCACTTTTATGTAACCTGTAATGAATTTCTACTGGATGAAACCCATGGCCACCGGCGCCGACCTCCTTGTTTACGTTCTTTATAAACATTTCTTCGATTAATGAAATTTAAAAAGTAGTTCTTATTCCCGGAAGCGTAGCCTAACGAGGATTCCAGTTAACTTCTGTGAATTTGTATAGGGTCAACAAAGGCACGTCAAGCTTGAAATTTAATATTTAAATTCAATTCTGTGCCGGTTACGACCAGAACAGTCAAAGTATCAAACTTTATGTGCTCTTGACTGTATAACTAGCAGGATTGAAATCTCCGACTTCCACTTGTACCTATTTAATATGGGAAGGGTATGTTAGATGTAAGTTTGTAATAATATTAGTTTTACAAGGTGTGATATGACATACTGTTATTACGTGGTAAGCATTCCGCGTAAATGAGATTATTTTTCTTTGCAAAACTTCCGAATAGATATTAGCTGCATTTGAACTACCAGCTTGTTACAGAACTGTGGTTTCTGTTCGCAGAAGTACGATAGGCATAATGTTTTCGCTATGTATTCGTAACACTTTTTTGTGAGCAAATGCAGTCCGTCTGTGTGCAGTGAAGGACTCTTTCTCCCTCTACAATCAATTCTTATGCTATAAACAAAACTACTCTGGAGACACTGCGTGCAATTTTGCTCCAACATGGCAAGTAAAAGTATACCGTTTTTCGCACTCAAATATGTTGATAGGTACTTGGTCCCGATACGAGGTTAAATGCGCGCGCGTAAATTCAGCTTGACTAAAATTTTCACCGCTACGTGCATGTATAGCAGTCCCAACACATGTCACATCACACCATTGTAAATTAGTGTAACAATAACAAAATAGTAGTCATACAAGAGTGCGCTTTAAAAGCCAGAGATTGATAAATGTGGTTTTGTACTAGTTTTTGTAATATAGTAATAAAATAATATAAAATACTTTACATCTAATATATTGAACTGTTAACTGAAATATAACTGAGATATAGATCAATAAAAATTTATTAGAAAACGTGTTTTTTTTATAGTTTTATAACATTGTCAATTTATGATGCCGGTGGCTGCATAAGGATCATTCTCGCTTTGGACTGATTGACCTTAAGTTTAAAAATAGATGAACCAAATAACCGAAAACGAAAAAAGAATGTGAGTGTACTGAGTGTCCACATAGAAAAAAGGGCACGTACAACACGAGACGGTACAGTATTCTATAGGGCCGGTTGAAATGACAATCGTTAGGCTCAATTTATATGTATTGCGGCGGAAAAGGAATGGAAGCGAATTTTTGTAACGATGTTGTACATAGCATAATGAACTTTCTGGAAGAATTGTGTAACGTACAAACTAAATACCAGCCCAAATCTTCCGCGGAATGCGCGAGCATTCTCTAACATGCGCGAGAATTCCGCGGAAGTTTTTGCCTTGCACCTAGTTTGTACGTTACACTATTGAACATAAGGTTCATTATGCTATGTATAATACCTATCCTTACAAAAATTCGCTTCCATTCCCTTCCACCGCAATATATTTAAGCCTTAGGCTCAATTTACACTGCCGCAGAACGAAATGGAAGCGAATTTTTGTAACCATAGATAGGAATGTCGTTTCTGTCAATTGTGTGCTGTACAAACAGATATGATAAAT